TCCGCCACTGCTCACTATGATATTGTTTGTTTTCGGCCTATCTTGCATAGTTTTGCTTTTAGGTATATAATGGTGTCTCGTTTTTATAAGAACTCATTTCACCCCAAAATGAGTATTGTAACTTAAAGTTGGATTGTTCTTTATGAAAATTTCTCAAATGTTAGAGTAATGTACTTCAATCCTACGTACCTATTTCAACAGGTACGAAGAAAAGTAAATAATATCACATTTTGAAGTTTTAACTTCAAAGTTTTAGACAGTATACAAACTTGCCCTTCCCCCAAATTGTTGTAGTTCAAGTGATCTTTTTTTAAGGAGACTGGTTAAAGCGTGTTTTTTTTCTTCAAACGATCACTCTTTAAAAGAGGAAAGAACAACATCCAATTGAATAGAAAACAAAACCTATAGCTAAACAGAACGTAAACAAGACGTAAAGTCAAACCTCGCTAATAAACGAGGTGATAAAGACAGAGCCTTACAGGCCACCAAATGAACCACTCTGTTGCGATCCCGCCCAACGAAACAGTAGAATTGACAACCACCAAACTGCCCCATTAGCAAGATGATTTCTTGCAGGACAACACCAGCCAAAGCATGAGAAGAATCCCTTGCCAAACATTTATCAATGATGATCTTGTACTGTGCTTTTCAGTTTTGGCCCAATGGACATGTGAAGCAAATTTGAGTGCTAATCAGACCAGCGACGATTCAACCCAACAATATGGGCCTTTTAATATTCTTTTTTTTTTATAATGGAAGGGCCAATTACGTTCTTGTTCGGGCTTGAATGGTTTGTTGTAGTAGCTAAGCCCAAAAAGGTTTTCCAAGGTTCCCAACCTATTATCATGATTTGAGGGGCTTCTTCCAAGGTGTTCGTATGTACGATGTTTGTTCATCAACCATTGTGGCGGAAGTCAAATATATCTTGGTCGCTTCTTGGGATTTGAAAAGACACCAAACTGTTAACTGTCGCTCACTTCATTCTTATGGAGTATCTTGTTCTCATAAAAAGGGTAAATTGCAAGTTGGTCACTGAAAGTGTAAAAAAATTCACGGTCATTAAAAGTATTTTATTTTATGGTTACTAAAAGTGTTAAAAAATTCACGTTTGGTCATTAAAAGTATTTTATTTCATTCATGGTCATTGAAAGTGGTAAACATTTTATGTTTGGTCACTCTCCGTTAACACCGTTAGTATTTTGCTGACGTGGCTAATAGAAATGTCAATTCACTCTTTTTTAACCCGCCACGTCAGACCTTCTGCATAAACCAACCTAATCCAACCCCTAACCCAACGCGACTCGACCCGATCCCAGCCACCACTACCTCCGCCTGCCATTCCGCCTTCCACCATCGTAGCCTTGAGTCTTGACGTCGTTCTCCTCACTTTGTTTGCAAACACCGGTGCCGCCTAGAGTGGTCACTCAATCTTCCCTGCGATCGACTAGCATCTCTCAATCATGAGAAAGAACCAACCCCATTTCCCAAATCCAACATTCAACACAAACAAAACCCAGAAATGGACGAAAATGAACCAAAAAATGGGGTAATGGGATTCAGATGTTACCATTAGAAAGCTAGAGAGAAGTCTATGAATTTGGGAACTCACCATTTTCAGAGCCGAGTGCTTGAGAACTCACCATTTTCGAACCCTAATGAACCATCCTCGGTAGAATTTCGCTTCTGCCGCAATGAGCTCCTTCCCTCCTTCGGTTCCTCGACCTTCTCCTCCACCTCCTGCTCAAGAACTGGAGCGCGCGATTCAGTCACCGGCTTCTCCACCACATTGACCTTAAACTTCATGTCTTTCATGACGGTGTTATCGTACTTGACGGTGTCGCCGTACTTGACGACGATTATTTTTCCCCGAATCGGTTGATGGAGGGGAAGGGATTGTTTTGTGTGATGGAGATTCGTGGATTGGAGGATTGAGGGTGTTAGGCATTTGGCGACGCAAGGAGGAGGATTGAAGGTTTGGTTTTTTTGGTTTCGTGGGTCAAGACGGAAGGGCCAAGTATTGGGTTGGGTTGTCTGATGTAGCGGATTATGATGATGTGGCGGTTCGAGTTTTATGAGGGGGCGAGTTAAAAATGAGTGAATCAGGATTTCTGTTAGCCATGTCATCAAAATACTAACGGTGTTAACGGAGGTTGACGGAGAGTGACTAAATGTGAAAAGTTTAAGCACTTTCAATTACCACGAATAGAATAAAATACTTTTAGTGACCAAACATGAATTTTATAGCACTTTCAGTGACCAATCTTGCAATTTACCCCATCAAAAACCTTTCAGGAGATCTCTCTTATATTGTGACTGCATGATGGAATGTCGAGCTTGATTGCACTCCATGAAGGACATCCTTTCTAGCTCGAACTTGATAGAGGTCTCTTACGTACCTCGACGCTTAAATGTCCAAACATATTTGGTTGCTTAAGTCTCTCAGGTATGGGATGCTCATCCATCGGATTGGATCCAAATTGTGGATCTCATTTCATTTCGTTTTGATAGGTTGTTCAACCACTAGGACTGATGTTCAGAAACCACACTTGATAAGAAGAAAAAAAAAGTTAAGATTGATAGGCTCATCATACAGTACTCCACTCGATGATCCTCGATAGGACTCGTTATGTGGGGAATAGACGAATGTGCAATTTTTGCTAATTTTTTTTTGTGAATTCTACTTCACATTTGGGAAAGAACTACTTTCAAATTCAATATGAGCATTCTAGTTGTTATGATTAGGGGTGGGCAACGAGAAACGGGTATTTGGGTATACCCGTACCCGTCCCGTTTTTTAAGGGTTACGGGTACCCATATTACCCGTAATATTTTAAACGGATGAGACTTGGGATTGTACAGTTCTAATATGGGTACCCGCGGGTTACCCGTGAATACCCGTTTGGGTAATATGGGTACCCGTTGTACCCATTCAAATTACAAAGACAGATTTAATTCAGCCCATGCGCCCAGGCCCAACCCAATTCAAAATCCATTTTCGACCCTTACCCACGGGGACCGTGAGAGTTGAGTATCCCAAGATCTTGGGCTTAAGTAATGGCGAAGTAATGGCAGTGGGAAAGTGTGGGAGCACCCTTGGCGAAGTAATGGCACTATGGCAGTGGGAAAATGGCAATGGGTTTGCCTTTTGGGATGTAATTGTCTTTAGCTAAAAAGTCAGTGAGGAAAATGAATGATTGTATTTTGAAATGAATGCTTTGGATGTAATTCACTAATTGTCTTTAGCTAAAATGTCATTTAAACTTTGGGTATTTATGGGTAGTATGGGTACCCGTTATCCCTCCCATACGGGTAATGGGTACCCGTTTCCCATATGGGTTTGGGATATGGGATGGACTTTGGTCTCCAAATGGGACTGGGTACCTGTTTAAAACGGGACGGGTATCCCGTCCCATCCCGTTACCTACCCCTAGTTATGATAATCATAGTCAAAAACGCGTTTCTACGTAGAAGCGTTTTGGTGATTCACAAGGGTAAAATCGTAAGTTTTTAAGGTTAAATGCACGTTTTTAATTACAATAGTCATAAAACTGTAATTCTACGTAGAAAGTTTTTGGTGACCTAGAAACGTAAAAGCGTCAAATTTTAAACTTTAGAATCTGATTTTGACTACATTAGTTATGATTACATATCATGAAAAGCATTTCAATAGTATTTACTCTTTTCATGGATGAATTTCAATTGAACATTTGTTTTTGCAGACTTCTTTAGGTTGCGAGTAATTACACAAAGACAAATTTAAAGAACGTTTTAAAATGGACAATTTGAAGCCAATATCATACTATTATGATAAAGAATTTTCGATCGATCAATTGGTGGGTCCGAAGATCTAGTGTGCATTATTTACCTTTGTCGTATACATTCCAAGTTCCTAAGTGCGTGGGGGTGACGACGAAAACAGGCAAAATTCTGGCGTTTGGTTTTCTTTTTCCCCCTTAAAATGCTTTCCTTTTCGTCTTTTGCCTTAAATTCATCGCGGGGTTTATTTAAGACGAGTGGAAGTCAGTCTCAAAGACGAGACACACAACGGACAACGGTTCCCTTCTCAGCTCAATCCCTCCATTCAATTTTCCTACTTCCCAACTTTGAGCTCTCTCTCCCAATTTCATCCCTCCACTCGCTTGCTCGCCCGCTGCCTCTCCTTTATCTACGACTTTCCATTGAAAAAGGTCTGATCTTTTCCTATTCCCTTTTCTTTTCCCCTCTTCATACATCTCAAAGTTCGTCGCTTTCTGTTTTTCCAACTCAGTTTGTGCGCATATTCCGTTGTTTTTTCTCACCTTGTTCAGCATCCAACTCACAATCCTTGCTACTCTTGTTTAGGGATTTGCATCAGTTCTTTGGAAGAGACGACCCAAGGGAGAACCGAGTCCAACAGGTAATCATTTCTGTAATTTGATTCTTCTTCTATCTGGGTTCTGCTGATTTAGAATCCGGCTCAGTGGGTTTGCTCAAAATTGGACGACTAGGGTTTTAGGGTTGCAGCTCGGTTTCTTCGCTTGGAATTTGCTTGTGGCAGATCAATGATGGAGTTCATGTCACTCTTCTAGGGTGTTCGATATTTTGGTTGTGTTTGGCTTTTAGTTCTAGGAGCATCCACCAATTTGGTAGGGCAGCCCGAATTCCAGTTCCTTGTCCCAACCCATAATTCAGTTTGTTCTTTAGTGTATTGTGAATCATGTGGGGAGCTCTGAGCTCTTCGTTTCCCCCTCCCTTTGAGAGTTGTCATTGTCACTAGCTTTTGTTAGTTAGTTCTAGCCTTTAACTATCAACAAAAAAGCCTTCAGATGATCATGATGTTGGTGAAGAAGCAGTGATATGTAGTGGTCTATAGAGAACCACGTCACATGGGTTTCATCTTCTTTATATTGCACCTCCTCCAATCTTTGGCAATTCAATTCACTGAATCTTCCTTGGAAGCTTGAAATGTTGATGAGTGTTTGAATATATTTTCTGGGATAAAAATAAACAGGGTGGTGGTCATGGATCAACAAGGGCAGCCTCCTGCAGCAACTGGGGTTGGAACTACTGCACCAGTCCCCTACGGAATGTCTCCATACCAGCCTAACCAGATGATACCTTCAACTCAATCTCCAGCGCAGTTAGCACAGCACCAGCTGGCATATCAGCACATCCACCAGCAACAGCAGCAGCAGCTTCAGCAGCAACTCCAGAGCTTCTGGGCCAACCAGTACCAAGAGATTGAGCAGACGACCGATTTCAAGAATCACAGCCTGCCCTTGGCAAGGATCAAGAAGATCATGAAAGCCGATGAGGATGTGAGGATGATCTCAGCTGAAGCTCCTGTCATATTCGCCAGGGCGTGCGAGATGTTTATCCTTGAGCTCACTCTGCGTTCGTGGAACCACACTGAGGAGAACAAGCGGAGGACCCTACAGAAGAACGATATTGCTGCTGCGATCACCAGGACTGATATCTTTGACTTCTTAGTGGATATCGTTCCAAGGGAGGACTTGAAGGACGAGGTTCTGGCATCTATTCCGAGGGCTGGTGGACTTCCAGGTCCGGCTGAACCTGCTGTGCCTTACTATTACATGCAGCCTCCACAGGTGAATGCTGTTGGTGGGATGAGTGTTGGAAGGCCGGTGGTCGATCAGGCATTATATGGTCAGCCACCTCGTCCTTACATGGCGCCACAGATGTGGCCGCATCAGCAAGAGGAAGAACAGCAGCAGCCACCCTCGGATTCTTAAATGTGGGGTGTATAATGAAACTGGTAGTTTGAGACTTGGAAAGATGTTCTGAGAAAAGATTTGGTTTTAAAGTAGTGTTTTGGGTTGAAGTCTGTCTTGTAAAATTGGGCATTCTTGCTTGGCTGTGTATTCTGTGGTATGTTGTTATGATTGATGCTTTTCGTTTTTACCTTGCACCCTCTCCACTTTCCAATCATTTATCACTTGATTGTCCCATGTGTTACAACAATACACGGGTTTTAACATGACATGTATTTTAAAGACTGATTTAACCTAAGATTTCAACAGCCCATCGTGTTGTATGGATCCACATTTCACCCTTAGAATACCAGAAAAGCATTCTTCCGTGGAATCCACAATGGGTCTACCATGAGACCCATAAGTTGTTTCGTACTAGATGTAAGAGCATGAAAGTGGTATGATTCTTCAGCACAAGGTTTCATCAAAATGTAGCTAATCCTTTCATTATAGTGTTTATACATTGCAACTGAACAGAGAAGAACCCGTACATGTACGAAAACCCAGCAACTTACTAACAAGAAGAAGCTTTAGGTGGAAGAAGAACACTATAAAGATGAAGCTCAATAGGCTGGGCAGATATCCTCCAAACTGCAATAATGAAAGAAAAAAGGAAATGACCTTCAGTTTCGTCGCACCTATTTGGAAGGAGACGACATGAATTAAAGAAGCCAAATTCATTACCTTCTTCCCAGACACTCGATGATATCAGTGGTTAGAGTCGATCTTTTTCGGGTCTCGAAAGCGAGAGATGCAGCCTTCCTGAGTAAAGCTGAGCCGGCAATGCAACCTAGAACAGTTGGATTCCTGTCAGCAGCTACGAATGGTTTGGCGTGCCCAAGATAGAAATACTGCAACACTAGTACCAACAAAAAAGGAAGATAATCAATGACTAACTTTCCTTTGTAAACACAGGCATATAGGGGTGGCAGATAGGGTGGGGTTGGTGAGTTTGTTGGTTGGGTTTGAGGGTTAATGCGGTTGCAGGTTGGTTTTAAATGGTTTCAGTTGGTTGCCAGGAAATTAGTTCATGGGTTGGTGACATACTGGTGAATATTTGAAGTGGTTTGGAAGTATCGGTCATCTGTCAGGTCTAAGAGCTTTAGGTTAAAGATTTAGAACTTTTGTTATTGAACAGAGTGTTACTATGAAGTCACCCTCACATGATTGATCGAGTAAGATAAGTCACTCACCTTCCGGAGAGGATATCACCCTGCCCCCCACACCGCCGAGGTGACCCACAGATGCTCACAGAGTTCACTGCATAAAAATGACCGAGTAGAGAATTCTCGTACAGCGAGAGAGACAAATAAAACTGATTTTATGTGTCAACCAGTTGTTTCCATACCTATATCACCATCACTGATGAGGTCAGATCTTCCTTTCCTTAAGATGGTTACACCACCAATCCTGACCAATAAAAGTCGGTAAGTAGAACCTTTGGGCTAGCTAATAAGACCAAGCAAACCGTGCTCTTTTTCACTCACTGTTTAGCGAGAGATGATAATTGTCCGTGTGCATCAGCATCATCGACCTCGCATTTGAGAACCGTCTGAACCAGTCGCTTGTATTCATTCACATTGGGGGTAAGAACGGCCAAGGGATAACCATGAACCAGATGAAGACTGTTTGCAACAAGAAAGAGTCCATCCTGCCAGAAAAATGCATTTTTATCAATCATAATCAACAAGGTGAGAAATCAAAAGCCATCTTGTCAAATACCAATTTTGATTCATCTGAACACAGTCGCATACCCCATCTACAACAATTGGAACATTCGAATGCCTTGCCTGCTTCATGATTTCACTGACACAATCCTACAAATATTGCACCGGATTCAGTATGTAACCACAAGAGATCATATACCTCGAAGGTTAAGAGATACAAACCAGAAGAAATGGGTCCCTTCCAAGACCAGGCCCAACCACAAGACAATCGAATCTCTCCATCCATTTATCGACCTCAGCTACAACTTTTGCTGATACTTGCTTTCTCTCTTCCTCCCTGAAAGATTTGAATTTGTCACACAGACTTCACATTCTGCTCACTAACCAGATTTTATGCACCATCAAGGTAATGTAAAGCTGAACAAAAAGAATACCTCACACTATAAGACTCCTCCAAAACCGGGTGAACGATCAACTCGGGACTATAGCTCTTGATAACAGGAGCAGCATCTTTGGTACAGAATACATGGGACAGGTCTGCACCCTGCCAACCAACATAACACCACCATTAAGCTACCCCAACACACTACCATTAGACTAAAAGAAAAATATAGTTTCACCAGAGAGAAAAAAAAAAAGATGTAGAGCTAACGATTTTCAAGGCCGAGATAGCAGCAAAATAAGGAGCTCCAGTGTACTCCCGGCACCCTCCAATCACAGCTATTTTCCCTGTGTGAACAATTAATCCAAACCCAGTTGGCAACCAGCAGACAGAATGAAACTAAAACCAAAGTCACAATCTTTATACTATTTTCTATTTACCTGCCTGGCCTTTATGTCGAGTTGGGTCCAAAGTAGGAGTGATTGCTCTCAAAATGCTCACAGCATCAGCCTCAGTCTCTTGCATTGTAATGCCAGCAGTAGTACTATGAACTTTATTATGAACACCTCCTCCCCGTGCCCTGATCAAGAAACTCTGCCTTCTCAGAACAGCAGCAATTGATGAAGCGAACGAGTAACTCCGGGCAATGCTCAACGAGGCTAACTGATTCATTCCATGGTTAACTAACATCACCGAACGCCACCCAACAAGCGCAAGCCTCCCTTTTCTTACAAAATATCTATACACAAAATGATCATAACGAATTCCATTAACTACTGATAAGTAAGTCGATATGTACTGCAAAGAACTCTCAGCTTCGCCTAAAGAAACCAAGCTCCGGCGAGGGGAGAGAAGCTTCTATGACTGCTGTTAAAGTTAGAATAGCAAAATTGGACTGAATTGTACCTGTCAAAATCGTGGCCGGGAATCAAAGGTAGTCGGAGATTGTGTCGATGACTGATTCTGCATATTTCATCGGCATGGTGTTCGCCTGTTCGGTTGGGTTCTAGACTAAAAGAGAGGAGAATTGGGCATCTGCCGTTGGGTTAGTTTCAATCGCCATGCTGACTAAGCACTTGGTTTAGCTGTGGTGGCGGCCACGGAGGAGAAACGATCAAGACTAGGCAACGCTGTTTCGGCTGAGGTGGTTGGCCTTGCGTATGGGCCAGGCCTGGAAAAAGAGCTAACCATTAACTCAATACTCATTCGACTCCATGAACAGAATTAAGAAAGGCTTCGGCCCAAACAGGAAGCCAGACAAAGTCTCAGCCGTGGATCGTTAGTGGTGTCGAGTGTCGACGAGTGCGAAATCCCGGCGACTTCCTAGGAACTAAGGGAACGCGGAAGCAGAGAAGGCTGAAATAAAGATGAGGCAACAGACGAAGTTGAACGCGATTCGATCAGGGCTAGTGGTGATGGGGGCTTTAGCTTTTGGGTACTTGACAATGGAGATCGGCTTCAAACCTTTCCTCCTGAAAGCGCAAGAAGAAGAGCGACAGAAACAACAACAAGAATCTCTCACTCTGCAAGAAAAATCCCCAACCCACGAGTCGTATTGATTTCCAGGTCTGCTTTTGTTGCTTCAATCGAATGGTTATAAAAAATCTGCATGGGATCTAGTAAAGGGAGCGTGCTTTATCAACATTCATACCTATGCTCATTTGGGTCGGTAGATTGTCGCTTTTTTCTGTATCCATTTACTGAAAATTTTGTACCCAGTGTTGGTCATTCCTGGTTAATGTTAGCATATTTTTACTTTTTAGCTTATCCCAGCTAGGGAAATGGGACTGGAAGAAGGTTTTAAAAACAAGAGATAAAGTTGAGCAGTTTCTTACATGCTGGAACACTCAGGTATTCTGGAATGGGAAAATCTTGCATAAATTCTCAGTGAAAACAGAATGGAAATGACCTGAGAATGGTTGCCCCTAAAGTAGCTTGGTATGCTTTGACATGGGAGCACTACTGTGTGCCCAGACACAGTTTAGTTAGTTGGCTTGTGATAAAAGACAGGATATTTACAAGGGAGAAGCTGAAGCTGATGACAGTTGTGTGCTTTGCAGCAGAGGCCATGAATCAAGAAATCATTTGTTCTTTATGTATGTATTCCAAGGCTGTATTGCAGAGCTGCTTGCGACTTCTTCAGGTGCAGTACAGGGGAATCTCTCAGTATGATCAGTATGTGCAGTGGGCGATTCAGAAGTTTGGAGGTAAGAAGGCTGAGGCTAAGATTGAAAGATTAATGTGGAATGTTGTGGTAAGGTTGATATGGAGGGAAAGATGTAGTAGATGCCATGGTGGACAAGCTGTTTCTCAATAACATTTAGTCTACAAGATTAGGAGTACTCTTTAGCTGGTTTGTCTGGGGAATAGTCAATTGCAGAGTGACTGTCATCTTACTGGTATTGTTTTGTGTTAAGTCAAAATCAGTATGGGCTGTTGCTGGTTAAATACGCGAGTAGATAGAGTTCCTCATTGTTTGAGTTCTTATACTGTAACACTTCAGATTGGATTCTCGAATTGAGAATACCATATGAGCTTCAATAATGGTATTGATTAACCATAAAAAAAAGGAAATGAGACTAGAATTTCACCATTGATAGACTCTGTATATTGGACATGTGAGCTCAATTCAATGAACCAAAAGGAAACAACAAAAGTTATGTCTCTCTCCTCTCTCTCTCTAACGGTAACGTTCTCTGAACCAAACAACGGTTCCTTTTCCGTCCCCTTTGCTGGGACTGCTCCAGCTCTTGCAGAGACTCTTCTGGTGATCAATTCACCCATCAATCTTCTTCCCCACACATCTGTTTCTCATAAAGATGGCAGTAGAACCATAAATCCAGGGGCATGGAAGATTCCCACATTGATTAGACTAAAAGAAGAAGCAAGCAGAGATGGTATAAAGAAGAGGGAGGTGTGGAAACCTCTAGATGACGGCAATAAAGGATCCCCCAGCCAAAGCAAAGAAAGGAGAAGTAAATGGAAAAGGGCAACATCAACTACTAAATCTCTGTTCTGTGACTACACCATCCACCTCGAGCAAAATGGAGGCAACATTGAGCCAAGAGCCGCGGTACTGGCAGGGGAAAAATAGGGGAAAGCTATGCATAGTCTCCAGAAGAATAATGAAGGGCTTGATAAGAAAGAAACCTACCACATTCAAGAGGAAAGAGAGACGATCAGCAGGGGGAAAAGCTTTAAAGGGAGGTGGGAAAGGGGAAGAGAAGGCAGTGCTCACATCTCACAATCCACTGCACATCTTCTCTGTTTCTTGCATTTACCAAGTTCCACATCTCGTGAAGGAAAACCCCCTGTTTCTCAAACCAAACATCTTTATACACCATCAACATCTCACCTCTTCTCTGTTTCCCATAACTCACCAATGGAATCCATCAATAACGAAGCTACCAGCAGCCAGAGGAGAGGAAGCATAATCCCAGCGCCATCCAGGGGCAGAGGGGGGCGTCTTGTTCTGTCCTCGACTGGTTGAAGAGGGATGTCCATGTTGCTGGGGAAGATGCTGACAGAAAGCAGGGTGGCGGTGGCAAAGGCAGCAGGAACTGCTCGATACGCGTGGGGCTGCTACGGAGAGGTGAACATCCAACCAACCAAAACCCAAAACCTATTCCTGTTTACCTTCAATAGCGTGGAGATCAGGGACAGGATTTGGAGGGATAGGCCATGGAGCTTGTCCAACACTTTGACGGCGATTGAGAGGTATAACGGAAGGGGGAGGCCTGAAGATGTCCCGATTGAGAAGATGGCAATGTGGGTTCAGATCCATGGTTTGCACCAAAACCAAAGGAGCGAGGAGAATATGGTGGCAATCGGGTCAAGCTATTTCCTGGAGCTGCTGGATCTTGACAGAGCTAACCTGGAGTACACTGGGTACAGGAGGTTTCTCCGCATTTTGGTTGAAGTGGATATCAGGGAACCCATCCCAACAGGCTTCGAATTCCCGTTTCTTGATGAACCCTCAGGGGTGGAGCACTGCGATGTAATTGACTTCAAGTATGAGAGATTGGTGGAGCTGTGTTACTTCTGTGGCAGAATTGGGCATAACTGGCCTACATGTAGAAGAATGAATGAGGAAAGGAAGAGGAGTGGAGTGGCATACCTATCCGACATTTACACTGCGGCTCTTAAGGCGGGAGTGGACTCGCCCCATAGAAGCTCCGAGTCGCAAGGGAGGAACAGGGGAGAAGGAAGGATGACGCAACGGAGGAATGAAAGAGTGGAGGGCGAGTCGGCGGCGTCGATGGGGGGAACAGCGGGGGGAATCCACAAATCCCTCCTGGGTTCACCATACAAAGATTGGGGGAAGGGCAGATTGACAGGGAGGAGCAGGGGATGATGGGCAGACAGAAGGGGAGATACAGGGAAGGGATGGGAGCAAGAGATATCTCCATCGATTTGGAGAGGGCGGGGGAAGAATTGGAATGGGGTCTGAGTCTGGAGGAAGGCGACGGAATGTTGGGCGACGGAGGCGTGGGCAGGGGAGTCGGGCTGGGCGAGGGAGGCCAGGGCAGGGGAGTTGGGTTGGGCGAAGGAGGCCAGGCTAGGGGTGACGGGCTGGGCTCTAGCAGCCAGCTGAGAGGGGTCCAAACAACTCTCTCCCTTGGGCCTGTGGTCCAGGAGAGTAATGACCAGGCCCAGGGAAATCTCTACTTTGAAGGTGTGGGCCTGTATCAACATGTTGAGGAAGAGTTGGAGGAAGAAGTGGGCCGGGCTAGGAAGAAGAGGAAAGGGACTAGCAGGCCTGAGTCAGCAGGCTCCTTTATTTCTGATGGGGCGATCTACATGGGAGGAAAAGAAGGGGAGAGCAGAAAAAAAGAAAGGTCAAAAAGGAAAGAAGGTTGTGCAAAGGGGGAGAAGATCAGAGGAAGTGGTGGAGAATCTGGAAGATGGAGCAAGGGCAGCGGTGGTTCGCCATAAGCCACCTCAGCCAAAATGAGTATAGTAAGTTGGAATTGTAGGGGGTTTGGCCCTCCCCTTACAAGAAGTTATGCGAAGCGTCTATGTAGACGTTTAGGCCCTTCTATTGTTTTTCTTATGGAAACTAGCAAGAACGAGGGTTTCATGGAAGAACAAAGAAGAAGTCTCAAAATTTTCCCCAATAGAGAGTATGTTGAACCGATTAACTCTTCTAGGGGTTTTGCTTTATGGTGGAAAGCAGGTATTAATATTACTATATTAAGTAGTGATACTACATGGATGTTAGTATAGATATGGGTAGGAAATTTTTCTGTACTTTTGTTCATGCACCCTCTACAGCTGTTAAGTAGAAGGGAATTTTGGGAGCAACTGAGCTCTCTTCGGAGTAGTAGGGATGATAATTGGGTGGTTGTAGGGGATTTCAATGCTGCGGTTTATGAGAATGAAAATGAAGGGAGATGCCCTCTTAGGTACGAGAATGTTGAACCTTTTAAGAGGTTCATATTCCAGAATGCTCTAATTGACCTGGGATACAAAGGGGAGCCTTTCACTTGGACCAATAAGAGAACGGGCCAAAACCTGACTAGAGTGAGACTGGATCGTGTGCTTTGCTCAACGTCCTGGCGGGCCCAATTTGGAGAAGCAGTGGTCTTCCATGAGAAAATGGTGCAATCTGATCACTGCCCGATCAGACTTGAGCTTCACTACCAAGGTAATAGGAGGAAGAAGACACCGTTTAGAATTGATGAAAGATGGCTGGAAAAGGAAGAATGCAAGAATATAATAGCCCGAGCATGGGACCCGGGAGGCCAATCAACTGACCAGCTGAACAAATGTCAAAGAGATTTAAAGGAGTGGGCTAAAGACTTCCATAAGAGTAGTATGCAAAGGGAGCAAAATATACTTTCTAAGCTCGAAATTCTCCAACATCCGCCAAGAACGACTGAGAATGTGGAAGAGGAAAAGATGTTGACTATCGAGCTGACCAAGTTATGGAGGGACGAAGAAGCATTCTGGAGTCAATGCTCGAGAGTTAACTGGCTCCAAAAAGGTGATCAAAATACCTCTTTCTTTCATTCAAGCACTATCCATAGGAAACATAGGAACAAAATCCTGAAACTCCAAGATGGAGAAGGAAATTGGATCGAGGATGAGAATAGTCTCAAAAGACTAGCAGAAGGGTTTTACAAAGAACTTTTTAAGGCTAGGAATCCTATTCCTTTTAACCATCTGTTAGAAAACTTCCCTGAAAGGGTGACTACGGAGATGAATGAGGATCTTTGTGCTACGGTGACTGACGGGGAAATTAGAAAAGTTGTGTTCTCCCTGGGAGCTCGCAAAGCTCCTGGTCCTGATGATTTCTCAGGAAGATTTTATAAGAGATACTGGGATATCTTAGGAGACACCTTATGTCGAGAAGTTAGGGGTTTCTTTGAAACGGCTACCATGCCAGATGGATGGAATGAGACTCACATTGCGATGATTCCCAAGGTCGACAACCCAGAGTTAATAAGCCATTACCGACCTATTAGCTGCTGTAATTTTGGATACAAGATCATATCTAAGATTATGGCAACGCGTCTCAAGAGGTGGACCCTCGATCTGGTTTCAGAGCTCCAAACAGCTTTCACTGGGGGAAGGCTTATTCAAGATAATATCATCATTGTCCATGAAGCCCTTCATCATTTCAAGAACGACAAGCTGGGGCGAAGGAGAGATATGATCCTGAAATTGGATATGAAGAAGGCTTACGATATGGTTGATTGGGAGTGCCTGGAGGCTCTTCTCAAGAAGTATGGGTTTGACAATAAGTGGTGTGGCTGGGTCAGTGCATGCATTAGAACGGTCAGCTTCTCCATTCTGTTCAATGGAGAAGCAACAGACTCGTTCAAACCTTCCCGGGGCATTCGACAAGGAGACCCACTTTCACCTTTCTTATTCATTCTCATGTCAAATGCCCTCACCTTCCTGATTGATAAGGCTGTGGAGAGTGATAAGTTGAAGGGGTTTTAACTGAATTCCAGATGTCCAGTGCTCACTCATTGCCTGTTTGCTGATGACACAGTTATTTTCGGGAAAGCTGATTACCAAGAAGCGCAGAATATTATTGATATCATTGGTGAGTATGGAGCTATCACAGGTCAAGAAGTTAATATTAACAAATCTTCAGTTTTCTTTAGTGCTAATGTCCCTGGCGATGTCAAAGATCATATAATCGCGAGCATTGGCTTCGCTTCATCGAATTGCCACTCAAAGTATCTTGGAGTCCCGACGGAGTTGGGAAATTCGAAGAAGGAGACTTTTAACTTACTCATTCAGAGGATGGAAAAAATGGGAGAAGCATGGAAAAGTCTCCTTCTCTCTCATGGAGGAAAAGAAATCCTTCTGAAAGCGGTTATTCAAGCTATTCCATCTTATATCATGCGCTTGTTCTATCTCCCAAAAGCCCTCACCAAGAGAATGGACTCTCTCCTCAGCAACTTTTTTTGGTCAGGGTCTATGCAAAAAAATAGCCTCCATTGGTGTAAGAAAGAGATTCTTTGTCTGCCTAAGTCAGAGGGAGGCTTGGGTTTCAGGAGCTTCAATGATTTTAACCTTGCCCTGCTTGCTAAGCAGGCCTGGGGCCTCCTCACGACCCCGGATTCGTTGTGGAGTAGGCTCCTTAAAGGGTTGTACTTCCCCAGAGGTGATTTTCTTAACGCTAAAAAGGAAAGCAGAGCGTCATGGATTTGGGCTAGTATCTGGGAGGCAAAGAAGGTTATTGGTTTGGGTGCAGTTAGAGTGATTGGTTCAGGTAAAGACTCGTGGGTCGATCAAGACTCGTGGATCCCCTGTTTGGATGGTTTTACTCTCAGGACTGGCCCTCAGAATCACCGGAAGGTCAACGAGTGGATCGACCCGGGAGAAAGGAAGTGGAAGACGGATGTTATCCAGGGACATGTTTCTGGCTCAGAACTCGAAGCTATTCTCAGGATTTCCATTGGGGAGGAAGGAGCAGATGACTTTTGGGCATGAAACTACAATGATGAGGGAAGGTTTACGGTGAGATCTGCGTACCATAAGATTCACAGAGCAAACGCCATTGCTCAACCAAGCGGGAATACTGATAAATGGAAGTGGATTTGGAGCCTTCACCTCCCCCCGAAGTTGAAATTCTTTGTTTGGAGATGCTCCAGGAACGGGTTAGCAACGAAAGAGAGACTGCTCCAGAGGAAGTGTGCACCCAACTCTTCGTGTCAGGTGTGTCAGTACCCCGTTGAAACGGTTAATCACTGCCTGTTCCAATGCCCTCATGCCAAGGTAGCATGGAATGCGTTGTTCCCGTCCCTTCCTCTACCCCCTCAGGGAACCTTGTTCTTTGACTGGTTCTGCTCCCTTAAAGATGTTGTCCAACAAAGCTCCTTGATCCATATTGTCTTCCTTTGTTGGAATATTTGGAAGGCAAGGAACGAATGCTCTTTCAAAGGTAGAGTCCCGTGGCCTCCAAAAGTGTGTCAACTTACCTATAAAGAGCTCACTGAATGGAATTCGTGTCCGAGGTCCCCACCTCCCCTGCCTTCCCTCCCCACTCAGCTTAGGGGAACCCAGTCTCATACGAATCCACCGCCAAGTAATCAGTCTTTGATGATTCACTGTGATAGGTCGTTCATTAGCGACTCCCAGCCGGCGGCATATGGTGTTGTGGTTGTTAACCACCATGGACAAGTGTGTGATGGGAGAGCTGAGGATCTTCTTTGTTCCACCCCAATTGAAGCGGAAACTAAGGCCCTTCTCGAAGGAGTGAAATTAGCTCAAGAATATGGATCCGAGTGTACGGTTTAATCCGACTGTCAGGTGCTTGTTAAAACTTTGGATAACGATCGCTCTCGATGGCCTTGGAGGTGTGCAGCCTGGATCGGATCGATTGTTTCAATCCTTCGGACAAACCCTCTCATCAAAATCAAAGAAGTGCCCAGAACACTTAATGTCAGAGCAGATTGGGTTGCTCGTTCTAAAGCTAGAGTGTCTCTTCCTGATGATTGGATTAATATTCTTGATCTTATTTCTGATCTTCTTTAAAGATATGTAACCAAGTTTCTCGTCTTTCATTTGATAGGTGGAATAAAAGTTGGTAACCATTGTAAAAAAAAAAAAAGCTCAATTCAGATAAAGATGCAGGTTTTTTTATGGCTTTCTGAATCTGGCTTTCTGAATCCCATAATAACCACTTGCTTCTCCAGTGTTCTATTCCCTAGCATAAAAGGCTCCCTTTCTTTGTTCTTAACTGCAGAACATAACATCGGCCATTGGCTCCCTTTCTTTATTCTCAACTGATTGATCATCAAGAAAAAACCAGACCCCTATCTCTCTCATCGTCGAAATTCTTCAGCAAGGTTTTGGCCGAAATCGCATAACTCGTGAGTAAATAGCGATTGACATAAGCTAGTGCTAATTGTTTTCAACATAGAACACACATCCATCTCTCTCAAAGTTGATCATGAAACATCTCGCAACACACGTGGATGAACATGACCATGACCAATTGACCATAATATTTCTGGGTATTTAACGGAATAATGGACTGGTGTATTCAATAGGGTACCTGGTCGAGATGGGATATGGAAAGTTATATCCATCTGATAATCTTCCATTAGCTAGATTGAATGCGACCCAATTTTCTTTTGATTATGGTAAACTGTAGCGATGTTTCCAAATTTTTTTGTGTGTGCCATTCAATCACTGTCAAAGAGAGGAAATGATAAGATCCATACAAAAGACCTATAAAGTAAAACCGATATACTACGAAGCCAAGAAACAAAATCGAACCTAATGCAACACTCGAGGTGACAAAAACAAAGCATATGATAGGCCAATGAATGAGCTAGCTTGTTACAATTGCGACCAACGAACCTCAGACTATACCCCAAACCAACATCCAAGAGTGAAGAAATCTCACGAAGGATGGAACCCACTTTAGCATCATGGAAATCACCTGCTCTGAATTTGTCAATACTCACTTTGGCATTCCCACAAATAGCAACATTCATAAAGCCTTGTACCCGACACTCTTGAATACAATTTCGGGGAGCTAGCGTCTCAAGAACATGAGTGTCATTGATCACTGGATACATATTTGTAGCAGCAACAATTAACCAAACCCAGGTCATCACGAATAACAAAAGCAGTCATCCCCGAGGCATCATTACTAGTCGCACCATCAAAGAAACCTAGAAACTCAGTTGAATGAGAAGACGACGGATCGGTAATCATGAAATGCAGGTGAGATTAAAGCTGGACAACACAAGTGACGTGCAAAAATCATATCATAGTAGTAAATTCTAAGATGCCTTAAGATCGTATTCCACAAGAACTTCTAATGCATCACTACTCACATCAAACCATCCAATGCTTCAACAATAAAAGTAAAAATATTTAGTGTAATTTTCGAGTAACATATCTAATGCATTGAAGTAAAATTAGATAATCATATATTTATCCATACTCGAATTGATACATATAATCTATAATATTATTTTATCCTTTCTATTGAAGTCATTCTCTACCCATCCATACGAATTGATTTACTGTCCATAAAAATATCAGATTTTGACAAATCGGGCAAATAGTAGTACCAATCCGAAAGTTTATTAGAACAAATTGAGAGGTAGAAGACCCTTGCAATACACATTTAGGAATTTTATTTCATGAATAAATTGACTTCCCCTCTTCTCCACCCATGCAACGGCATCCCTCTGAATTTTCATCTCCCAAACTTTCCCAAACCAGTCTACCAAGCAAAGCAGCTCTGCAACTGCTTGCTACTGCCCTTCTTCCCCTGCCTCTCTGCCTCCAAAGCAGAACAAACTTTTTTGTAAACCAATTCGGCGTTTACCCATGTAGAAATGGCAGCGGTTCCATTTCTCTCCGCCATGAATGTTGTTGTTTCCATTCTACACTAAACTTCTCCTTTTGCCATCCTTACTTTCTCTTGATGCTTAGCTACTGCTACCCATTTCTCCCCATACTCTGCCAATCAAAACCCACCTCTGGAAAACAGTACCTTTCCCGTCTAAATGGCCAAAAACGAAAGGCAGGAGGAAGAGACCACTCAGTTCGTCGATTCCGGCAACAATTTGAAGCGACTGAGTCTCTACGATCCGCCCGTTGCAGTTTTGGGAATCTTTCTGATCATTCTCTCCGTAATCCTCTGTTTCATCTACTTGGATTACAGCGAAGCTCTCGGTGCAGTGTACAGGGTTCCAAACTGGTTGCAGTTTCCTAACGACATGGGAAGAAGATTGGATTTCCTGAAGGAGGAAGGAAATGGGTGCGATGTTTTCGATGGGGAGTGGGTTTGGGACGAGGATTACCCTCTCTATCTCTCCAAAGATTGCACCTTTATAGAACAGAGTTTCAATTGTATACAAAATGGACGGCCTGATGTGCGCTTCACCAAATGGAGATGGCAGCCCAGGGAGTGTGACTTGCCCAGGTGAAAGGGGAAAAAAACCCCTGTTTGGTCCCTGAGAAAATGCAAAAAGGAAAAAAATTTTGACGATGGTCTTTTGGTTATTTGCAGATTTGATGGGAAGTTGCTGCTAGAGAAGCTGAGGAACAAGCGGGTGGTGTTTGCTGGTGATTCGCTGGGGAGGAATCAATGGGAATCCATGTTGTGCTTGTTAGCTTCTGCTGTTGCGGAAAAGGACTCGGTATATGAAGTGAATGGGAGTTTAATTCGGAAGCAGCGCCAGGGGACTCTGGTTTTCAAGTTCCAGGGTTACAACTGCACATTGGAGTTTTACTGGTCTCCTTACCTTGTTCATCTTGACCAGCCTTCTTCTGGTGCTCCGACTTCGAACAAAAAAGTCCGATCAACTCTGAAATTGGATCTATTGGATCCGATCTCTCGCAAATGGAGGGATGCCGATGTGCTGGTCCTCAATTCAGGGCACTGGTGGACTTCTCACATGTTTGAACAATTGTAAGTCTTCTCAACATTTTGAAACCCTAGAATATAATTGATTCCTCATCTCAAACCACTTTTTGGATTGAAAGAATGAGAAAGGTTTGTTGTTAGTCGACTGACTGTCGTGATTCAGAATCTCATATATTTTCGTTGACTCACAGGGGACTTCACTTCCAAGTCGGGCAAGAAGTGAAAATGAACATGAGCATGGAGGAGGCCTATAGAAAGTCCATGGAGACTGTAATGCAGTGGATAAAGAATGAAGTTAACACCAACAAGACGCAAATCTTCTTCCGAACATATGAACCCCGCCATTTCTTGTAATTTTTCCGTCCAATCCATCAATTTCGTATATTATTAGTAAGAAAATATTATCTAGACTTTGAATCTAACGGATTTTGTGGTTCCTGATTCTTATTGAGTGAATACTAGGTTCTAGTTCTCAAGACCCTCATCCTACATCCTGAAATGGTGCATCTATGTTGGTTGTGTTTCGACGAATTAGAATCGTGCACTATTGTTTATAGTTAAAAGTTGATCTTAGGCACAAGATTTTGAAAACAACGACCTAAGGTTTCACTCATTAGAGTTTAGGGTCTATTATCATACTTCAAACTCACAATGAAATTCAAGTTTTAGATAGTATGTTTTACTATGGATCATAAACGGTCACCTCAGATTTACCGGGTACAATACAAGTAATTTCCATACGTATAATGCTAATGGATGGGTTCGGGTTTTGCAGGTTTGGGGAGTGGAACACAGGAGGGAGGTGCAACGAAGAGAAGCTGCCGGAGTTAGGGGCAGCTCCGGTACTGTCATTACCACTTTGGACACATATACAATTTGAGTTAGCAGCCAACAAGATTCTTCCTAATCGAACGTACGATCTTCTGAACATAACTGAGATGTCGGCTAGAAGGAAAGACGGGCATATGTCTGTCTACTATCTTGCCTCCCACCGAGCACCAATGAAGAGGCAGGATTGCAGCCATTGGTGCTTGCCTGGTGTCCCTGATTCTTGGAATGAACTCCTCTATGCTTTCTTCCTTAAGCATCAAGCTACACGCCTTTAACTTGTCATCTTCATCACCATACCAAGCCCGACGAAAGGTGCCGGGCAAAGCATGGATTGAGGAAAGGAGCAAGAGGAATTTTTGCAGGAGAGTTGCCGAACAATAGAGAAGGGAATGTTTTATAGATAGGTCATATCACACAAACCCTTCATACATCACATGGTCTCCTCCTTTCAAGTGAGATGTACACGTTGAAGCGACATCCTTCAACTTGGTGTCAGATTAAACTTTTTCCAACATGTCTTGCTTATCATACCCTCGCATGTGGTCTCGTGACTCTTTGCTCGATTTACCTAAACTATATATCATACTAGAAGCCTTAGTAGAGGATTCTGAATGGAAACATTTACTATCGATCTGAAGTCAAATAATGATTTTTTTGTTGATAGCATTAATGTCTAACTGAGATAGCTTCCACTCTAAATGATCAGTAGATTGATCATCGTACATGAAGGATTATTCCTGTACCAAGGTGTTATCCAATGGGATTAACCTTTCGTTCATCATGAAGAGTTGGGAAGTCCACAATTCTTCATCAGTGTCTGATCCATATTCTGACACTCATTCGTAGAGTGAGTCTACATCGGACTCTACTTCCAACAGCTCATTTTCATCAATGGGCTCGTAGGCTAATTTTTCTCCTTCAAACAAAATTCTTCGAATATTTTCTGTTCGGTTACTCTTATGAGGACAAGTATTAGCTTTGTGGTCTTTTGATCCACAAACCCATCAACATGAACAGTTGCTCAAAGATTTCCCTTTGGGACATTTTGGTTCTCTTTTGTACTTCCTTTTGAAAGCATTTATCCTTTCATTATCCCTAGGATTTGTTCTTCCTTTTATGAACCTAGAGGGCTTATCAGATTCCCTCCTATCTCTCCTATCATCTCTTATAAACCTTCTTTTGATATCTTCTTTAAATGTTCTCTTTTTATAAGGATGTCTTTATGGTTTGTTATTCATAGGTGGTTGTTCTGATTCATTAGAACACCCATACCTACCAGGTACATATTCTATTTGGGCACAACAAGTCTTGTTATGATTGGGTAGCCTCTTGGCATCATGTCTTTCTCATGGCATACCATACTTCTTGTATTCTTCCTCCTAATCCATCAACAATCTGATTTTCGTTGAGGAGGAGATCAAAAGCTGTTTTTGCTACTTCTGGCCAAGAATTAGGTAGCTTAGCAAAGAACAACTAATTCATGTATTCTTGAGATACTAAGTTTCGATTGTAATAATATTTTTGAAACTCACAAAGATAGTTCTCAAAATAACACATATCACATATATGAAGTTTCATGAGGGCCATCACTGATTGGTCCTTCTCTAACGTTTTAGTAGATAACTTAAAGCCACAAAATTCCCTTTTCAAGCCATCAGCTACTATTGCCAAAATGTCTTCAGGTAAAACTTCCTTAGCGATTTCATCGTTTATTGCGGTATCAGATGCCAGTATATTTAAAAAAAATTGGGCATTCCCTACCATGGTAGCTTTACAAAACTCATAGGTTTGATCCGGAGTAAAGCTGCATGCTTTAGCCGTTATCCTAAGAATTGTAATCCACTCATCTATCCTTTCGGATACATGCTTTTCACAATCAATATTGAGAAAAGCACATGAACTTATGACCGGTCTTAAAGGATTATCCTTGGGAAGGAAATCCTCCATAGTCCTATGAGGATAATTTGGTTTAAACACATTCCTCTTAGTGGTAACAAGAACGTTCGATCATCTATTTCAATCGAAGCTTATTCAATTAATCACATAGACTTTCGAAGATCGTTCGCTAAGTGGCTAGTGCTAGCATTAGCCATTCTCTTAGTCGGGCCCGAAATGTATTGGACCATTTTTTCTTGTCGAAGTTTAAAAACATATGATTCTGAAACTTTTTGTTTTAACCTTCTTTTATTTTCAATAGCATCTAGTCGTTGGTTTAAGATGGTTTGAACTTCATCTCCTACCCTTTGTCTGTCAGATTCAGTCATTTCTGGGGCAGTTTCATCAAATTTTTCGACCAATGCTTGTACCTCAGCACGAAGATGGGCAAGATCAGTCAAATTAGACTTAGTATTTGAGTTGGAAGACTCATCTTTAGATACCATGATTTCCTATAATAAAATTGGTATTTAAAAAACTTTTAAGGACTAAAATGTAAATAGGTAGTTGAAAAGTGGTTTGAAGGAGCAAGTAATGGACTATGTCGCTGAAATTTTAGAGTTGATGCTAAAAAATTCATGTAGGTGTCTATGCAACAATTCTCCATGGCAGAGTAAATCGAGAGACCTATAAGCTGGTGATTGAGAAGATTGAGAGGAAGCTCTCTAGCTGGAAGATGAAGAATCTATCACTTGCTGGCAGAGTTACGCTCGCTCTCTCAGTCTTAAACGCTATGCCAACTTATGTGATGCAGACTACAAAGTTACCTGCCTCGGTATGTGAGACTATTGACAGGCTCGTACGAAACTTTGTATGGGGAGCAAGGGATGGGAAGCAGAAGGCTCATCTGGTTTTGTGGAGCACGTTTGCAAGCCCAAGAGTCTAGGCGGGCTGGGTCTCCGTTCGGCGCGAGATATGAATAAAGCTTACCTGATGAAACTAGCATGGTCTTTTCTGAATTCGCCTGAGGAGCTGTGGGTTCAAGTCATGCAGCATAAATACTTCAAGGCAAAAGATGGGAGTATGCAGCAGCTGAAAGGGAAGAGACGATCGCACCTATGGCGCGCTATGCAAGAGGTCTGGCCACTTCTAATGTAGGGGACAGCTTGGAGTGTAAGGAGTGGTCAGGACACGAGCTTTTGGGGAGATATATGGCTGGACAACGAGGTGGCACTTAAGGACCTTCTCTCAGAGGGTGCGAACCAGCCGGATGAGAGTATCACTGTGGCAGAAATGGTCGATGAGGATGGAAGATGGGATTGGAACAAGTTTGAGCACACGATATCTCACGAAATGCGGGTACAGATTGCAAGTACTGTGCAACCTTGCAGGGAGAATGAGAAGACCGTACCATATGGGCTCTGGAGAAAGATGGTCAGTTTCGACTAAAGTCAGCTTATGCGCTTGCAGCAGGGCTTGCGGATGAGGAGGACCAAGGTTGTTGGAAGGTGATATGGAAGTGGGAAGGCCCCAGTCGCGTCCGACACTTCCTTTGGCTTGCGTATCAGAACAAGCTTATGACAAATGAGGAGCGAAAGAAGCGGAAGCTCACTATGAGTAGTGGATGTATAAGATGTCCGCTTGTTGACGAGGACACACTTCATGTGCTAAGGGATTGTGAAGTGGCGACTGCTACTTGGAAGGAGCTGATTCCAAAAGAGAAACACCAAAAGTTCTTCTCGTCGTCGCTACAAGGGTGGATGGAGGAACAACTAAGGGATGTTAACTACTCTCTTGTGTTTGGTTTGGGCTGCTGGATTATATGGAAGTGTCTTAACGAGCTTGTTTTTGCAGGAAAGCAAACCTCAGGGACAACTTTGGTGTCGCGAATTCGTTGCTGGACCGAGGCGGTGGCAAGGGCACTAAAGAGTGACGAACGGATCGGCCTCCGACGGGCAACTACGAGGAAAGAGATGATGTTGAGCTAGAAACCGGCGGCGGAGAGTTGGATAACCATTAATACAGATGGGTCGGTGCATAACCCAGGATCAATGGCAGCAGTAGGGGGCATTGCGAGGAACCAGAGCGGACGAAACCTGGGATTTTTTATGTCGAATTATGGCCAATGCACGATTATGATGGCCGAGCTTAGAGGAGCGCTGGAGGGCCTAAACCTAGCGTGTATGCTGAAAGCCCCCAGAGTTGAACTCCAGTTGGATTCTTTGGCTGCTGTGCAGGTTTTACAGAATCATGTCGAGGAAGGGCATCGGCATGCCCCTATTATCCGTCAGATTCAGAGTATGATGGACACCTTTTGTGAGATCAAGATTACTCACATTTATAGAGAGCAGAACCATATAGCTGATTTCCTTGCTAATAAAGGGCATTCGATCCCAGTTGGAAGCTCCCAGTATGACCATATGGAGCCGCTTTTGTATTTCTGGTTAAATCATGATGTCCTCGGGATTCAGGAAGCTCGAGTTGTTAATGTAATGGGTTAGGGCGCCCCTAGCGCCCGCTTTTTCACCAAAAAAATATATGAATTCTCAAAATGTAAGAGATTTAGGAATCGTAATTGTCGTAATAACCTAACTTGGTGCCATTGAAGTCTGGCAGGGTCTAGGCAGTAAGGCTCCCATTTAACAACTCTCCGTTGGCGATTCAACCAATACAATTTCTCATTTTCTGAATCTATTCGATGACGCGAACAACTAGAACATTTTAAGTTGCGATCAAAACCAAAAACATATCTTGTACATCGCCCGATCTCGAACATAACATGCACACTCGACTCGCGACGAATTCGATCTCGCCGGATTATACATTCACACAACTCGGAATCCAAGAGGGAGCACTTAGCTCTCGCCCATATCCGACTCACAGATTAATTTCACGATTAGATGTGACAAATGGATTGGTGGATCCATGGATCAGGTGGATTGGATCAAATGGATTGGTGGATTCATGGTCTGCATCATATGGATTGGTGGATTGATCCATAGATCCAAATGACATCCAAAGTTTGGACCAAAATATACATTTCAAAAAGTTTAGGTACTAAAATGTCATAATAAAAAAATTAGGTACCAACACGTAATTTTCCAATGACATTTTTGCATAAAAATTTTAGGTACCAAAATGTAACATATAAAAAGTATAGGTACTAAATTGTAATTTTCCATTTGGATCCGTGGTTCAATCCATAAATTCACCAATTCAATTGGGTGTGGATTTTGGATCAAATGGATTGGATTAGTTGGATACTTAAGTGGATGGATTGTATTGAATTGGTGGATTGAATTATATTGAAAATTGTCACCTCTATTCACTATCCATCTCTCACGACTATAGTAGGCCTCAAAACGAATAACATATCTCGTCCATCTCCCGGATCCATCGGCAGGAGCTGTTGTAGCTCTCGATCGCCATGGCGCGCTATAGACAACGAGCTTAATTGGGATAAAAGAAAACATAGAGAGCCGAATGTGACAGACAAAACCCTCCCTAATTTATTTAAGCCTGCTCCTTTTGCCTTCACATAATCGAAATATGTCACACATGCATTGTTACGTTTGGTGTTATTTATATTTGGCCCAGACAGGACCTTACATCGGGCCAACAATAGGTTTCAGCCTCATGTTTTTTTTTATCTTCTTCCTACCCTATACAAAGAGTCACTTTGCTAAAAACAAACAAGAAACAAGATCGAACCCCACAAACAAAGGGAACTATAAAACGACTTTTCTTGTAATCAAATAGGCTACCCTATTGCACTCGTAACCAACAAAAACAACCCGACAATCTCGAAACGATGCACATAATGCTCTAATCTCTTCTAAGACTCACATATTAATTTCACGATTATATGTGGCAAATGGATTGGTGGATCCATGGATCAAGTGGATTGGATCAAATGGATTGGTGGATTCATTGATTGCATCATATGGATTGGTGGATTGATCCATGGATCCAAATGACATCCAAAATTTGGACCAAAATATACATTTCAAAAAGTTTAGGTACTAAAATGTCATAATTAAAAAAATTAGATGCCAAAACGAAATTTTCCAATGACATTTTTGCATAAAAAATAAATTTTAGGTACCAAAATATAAAATATAAAAAGTATAGGTACTAAATCGTAATTTGCTATGTGGATCCATGGATCAATCCATAAATTCACCAAATCAATTGGATTTGGATCAAATGTATTGGATTAGTTGGATATTTAAGTTGATGGATTGTATTGAATTAGTGAATTAAATTAGATTGAAAATTGCCACCTCTATTCACGATCCATCTCTCACGACTAGTAGGCCTCAAAATGAATAACATATCTCGTCCATCGCCCGAATCCATCGACGGGAGCTGCTGTAGCTCTCGATCGCCTTGGCGCGCTGTAGACTACGAGCTTAATTGGGATAAAAGAAAACACGGAGAGCCGAATGTGGCAGACAAATCCCTCCCTAATTTATTTAAGCCTACTCCTTTTGCCTTCTCATAATCGAAATATGTCACGGATGCATAGTTACGTTTTGGTGATATTTATATTTGGCACATGTTTCTTTTATCTTCTTCCTACCTTATACAAAGAGTCACTTAGCTGAAAACAAACAAGATCGAACCCCACAAATAAAGGGAACTATGAAACGACTTTTCTTGTCATCAAATGGGCTTCCCTATTGCACTCGTTACCAACAAAAACAGCCCAACAATCCCGAAATGATGCACTTAGTGCTCTAATCTCTTCTAAGATTGTTCCTCCATGGGCATCCGCCAGCTGACCCTCACGAACCCTCCCTTGACATAAATTGTGCATCCCCAGCAAAGGCAACTGAATGTAGCCCTCCAGCTACAATGTTGTTGGCACCACTACAATCGTGCATGTCTGGTTCTGCTAAGCCCATCGTCAGATTCCTCAATCGTAGCCTCCATCAACAAATATCAATAACTCAACTAGAGGAATAGGCTCCGTGGACACTGAAAGACTTGTGCAATCAAAAAGCTTTTCTCATACACATAGCCCGCTTGTTATTGGGTCTGTTCACATCACAAAGGTTGTGTTGGCTGGTTAACAGTTAACACGCACACATTCGGGCGCTCTTGGGACACCCTGTGGGCCAATGCGTATAAGCTTGGGCTTTATTAACGTGGCTCATTTGACGACTCAGTACATGGATGTCACGAGTCTATTGGCATGGAATCTTTTCTACGTAAGCTGATTGTGCAAAGTTTCTTTCTTCATACAGGCAGTGTGATTTGGGTCCGATGGGAAAGTGAGGGTTTCAGTGTCGATGAGAGACCTGTGAAAGAAGAGCGCTTTCGGATGAACCGCATGGGGCTTAGAAGTTCGCTGATGATATGGATTCCTTCGTCCCAAATCGACAACTTGCTATGCTATGCTATGCGCTGTGCCCTGGGTTGAAAAGCCAGGTAGAGACTAGCCGGCTGTTCTGTGGCCTATAAAATATATGGCCGGGAAGAAAGAGTTTGAGGTTGCAAGAATAAGCTCTTTGATAGAATCCCAGAAAGAGAGAATAGCCAACCAAGAAAGATGGGCTCAGCCCGAACCAGCTTCTTCTTGTCCTTGAGCGAGCTGAGCTAACCCAGCATCCCGTGCTTTTTTTTTTCGCTCGACATCCATGGGGGAGGAGTCAATAGCTTTTAAAAGTAAGTCTTCTTGCTTTCTGAAATTCTCATCTGACCCATCTATCCTTAGACTCGTTACTCCATTACTTGCGATATTGGACGCATGAGAAAGAGACCTATTGCATCCCAATCAAATTACACAATAAAAAGGTCGACAAATTCTTCAATCATAAAAGATTAACCGATATTCAAGACAATTCAAACAAAAATAAAAGACTCTATGCAGCATAAGAGGGTTGACAGATATGAGTGTGGTGTTGATTACATGGTGGAAAGCCAACAATTATAACTTCCATTATAGCCACGCTGTAACATTTTGTAGTTTGGAATCATGCTAGGCCAGAAAGTGACTCTGGGTTGGACGACCGGATTTAGATAAGTGTAGTAGCTTTGCACCTCTTCATAAGCTAGGAATTCCAGCTTGTTTTTCCCGAAATCATAGAACACGACAACCTCTTTATAATGGTCGGCGGCACCAAAAGCCGACAAAAACACGATTCCGGGCTTGTCGGGATGCATCCCAACCACATCTTGAAACCTCAAGTGGTCCAACACCTTGGTCTCGGAATTGCTTGTGATCTTGCAAACACCCTCCAAGTTCGTGACTTCATTCTGCTTCCTCCAACCTCCTCCGTGTTCCTCCTCCTCCAGTCTCCAAACACTCAAATCTATCCAAGACGACGGCGATTCGTTCGACCTTTCCCAACGAGTACAAGTTACATGCAAAGCTCCTGCCGAGGTCCAAGGACCAGATAGACGACCACTGAACTTTGGGCCATCTATCACAATCGGAAGTGTGCTATTATGATCTAAGGAGAAAGGATCCCACTTAACAAATCTTTTCCACGAATTCGCCCAATACAACTTCCCATTATTTAGAGCTACATGATCGGGAGAAAAACACCTTAATGAATGATGATCATGATCAAGAACGAATCTCGCCCATCTTCCCGATCTCGAACAGAACATGTACACCTCTACTTTCGCATATAGGCTCAACGGAGTGTACATTCGCACCACCTGGAATCGACCAGGGAACACTTGGTCCTCCTCGCCCAGGGAAATAAAAGGCTTGCAGACTAGTTTTACGGTCCATCTATAACGATGGGGCCTCGCCGCCATTTTAGGGGGTAAAGGTAGGGAGATCCATTGCTTTGTAAACGGATTGCATACCAAGTGCGTCCTGCGCAATTCCTGGCAGGTTTCGTTCCCCCAGAACCCGAGTAAGAGCAAGTCCTTGATGGAATCGAGGACCAAGAACTTGGATCCGGCATCGTCAGGGAAAGGAAGAAAGCTCAAGATCAATTGGCGGACTTCTGCGGGAGTCAGAACAGGCTGCTCGGATTCGTTGTTGGCGGCTGACAGGCTCCGGTGGTGAGAAGCCAGACGGCGAGAGAAATCGGGAGCGGAGATTACAGAGTTCCAGCCCTTGCAAATGGATTTGCATCGGACGGCGGATCTAGGGTCTGGCAGGCGAATAAGAATTTCGACGAGGAGATCGTTGGCTTCGAGTTTGCTGATGGAAGAGCTGGAGCTAATTAGTTTTCTTGTGCTTGTCGCCATAGCTGCGATGCGAACAGCTTGGGGGAGAAAAGCAGAGCCGTAGCAAGAGTGAGGCGCAATAAAAGGTCATCGTAATTTATACCTGCGGCTGAGTTTCTTTTGCCTTCTGCAAATCGGAGTATAGTTTGGAGCGTTGGGCCCAGGCCTGTCAATTAACAATGACGTCTACGAGTGATTAATTATGAACACTTCCTAACGTCTACGAGTGATTAATTATGAACACTTCCTAGACTTACAGTTTCACCCTAGTAGAGCATATCCAATTTCAAGGCCCAATTAATTCCTAACCAGCAATTACCGTTGCTAATGAGATTCGTGCATAATGCAATTACCGTTGCTAATCCATGTATTAAATATTTGCAAGTAAAGCAAAAGGAAGCATGTAGGTTGTATTGTGGGACATGATTCTAGCCTCAACAACATTAAGCATGGTTACTGTTTTAGCCTACCTGATTTATTTACATTTCCTACAGGTCCAAGAGCCAAAGAGCAACAAAGGCTTGAAACTTTTCCCTTACCTTTCACTGTTTTTTTACTCATCATAACTACTTTGTGATCCATACTGGTCTCATGTTAACCTCTGAGATTTTACAAATGGAGAAAACCAATTAAAAGGAAAGTAAGCCAAGTTCCAGCTTCTAATTTGATTTACCTTTCAAAACATGAGCAGAGTATATGTAGACCAGAGAAGAACCAGTATATGCAGGAAACCCAGCAACTTTCTAACAACAAGAAGCTTTAGGTGGAAGAACACTATAAAGATGAAGCTCAATAGGTTGGGCAGATGTCCTCCAAACTGCAAGAAATGGAAAGGAAATTACCTTCAGTTTCGTCCCAGCTATTGGGAAGGAGACGACATGAATTAAAGAAGCCAAATTCATTACCTTATTCCCAGACAGTCGATGATATCGGTGGTTAGAGTCGATCTTTTCCGGGTCTCAAAAGCGAGAGATGCAGCCTTCCTGAGTAAAGCTGACCCCGCAATGCATCCTAGAACAGTTGGATTCCTGTCAGCAGCTACTAATGGTTGGCGTGCCCAAGATAGAAATACTGCGACACTAGCACCACAAAAAAAGGACGATAATCAATACCTAACTTTCCTTTGTAATGGTGGCAAATATGTTGAGCCTGGTGAGTTGTTGGTTGGGTTTGAAGGTAAATGAGGTTGCAGGTTGGGTTTAAATGGTTTCAGTGGGCTGCCAGGAAATTAGTTCATGGGTTGGTGAAATCCTCAATCCCCATGAATATTTTGGTTTAGGAGGAGATTTCGGTCATCCGTCAGGTGTAAGAGCTGTAGGGTAAAGATTTAGAGCTTCTGTTATTAAACACAGGGTCACTATGAAGTCAACCTCACGTGATTGATCAAGTATGATGAGTCACTCACCTCCCAGAGAGGATATCACCCTGGCCTCCACATCGCCGAGGCGACCCATAGATGCTCACCGAGTTCACTGCATAAAAATGACCCAGTAGAGCAATTCCCGTACAGCGAGAGAGACACAAAGAAAACTGAATTTGATGTGCCAATCAGTTGTTTCCATACCTATATCACCATCACTGATGAGGTCAGATCTTCCTTTCCTTAAGATGGTTACACCGCCAATCCTGACCAATAAAAGCCAGTAAGAACCTTTGAGCTAAGCTAATAAGACCAAGCAAATCGTGCTCTGTTCACTCACTGTTTAGCTAGAGATGCTAATTGTCCAGGTGCATCAGCATCATCGACCTCGCATTTGAGAACCTTCTGAACCAGTCTCTTGTATTCATTAACGTTGGGGGTTAGAACAGCCAAAGGATAACCATGAACCAGATCAAGACTGTTTGTTACAAGAAAGAGTCCATCCTGCCAGAAAAATGCACTTCATCACATCAGAGTCAACATGGGAGGAAATAAAAAACCTTATTGTCAGATACCAATTTTGATTCATCTGAACACAGTTGCATACCCCATCTACAACGATTGGAACATTCGAATGCCTTGCCTGCTTCATGATCTCACTGACACAATCCTACAAATATTATACAGGAGTCAGTATGCAACCACAAGAAATCATATTCGTCAAAGGTTAAGAGACACACACCAGAAGAAATGGGTCCCTTCCAAGACCAGGTCCAACAACAAGGCAATCGAATCTCTCCATCCATTTATCGACCTCAGCTACAACTTTTGCTGATACTTGCTTTCTCTCTTCCTCCCTGAAAGATTGGAATTTGTCACACAGACTTCACGTTGAGCTCACTAACCAGACTTTCTGCACCATCAAGGTAATGTAAAGCTGAACAAAAAGGGTATACCTTACACTATAAGACTCCTCTAAAACCGGGTGAACAATCAGCTCAGGACTATAGCTCTTGATAACAGGAGCAGCATCTTTGGTACAGAACACATGAGACAGGTCTGCACCCTGCCAACCAACATAACACTACCACTAAGCTACCCCAACACACTACCATTAGACTAAAAGAAGAAGAGTTTCAACACAGAAAAAAAATGTATAGCTAACGATTTTCAAGGCCGAAATAGCAGCAAAATAAGGAGCTCCAGTGTACTCCCGGCACCCTCCAATCACAGCTATTTTCCCTGAGTGGACAATAAATCCAAACCCAGTTGGCAACCAACAGATAGAGTGAAACTGAAATCAAAGTCACTATCTAAGTTTTCTGTTTACCCGCCTGGCCTTTATGTCGATTTGGGTCCAAAGTAGGAGTGATTCCTCTCAAAATACTCACAGCATCAGCCTCAGTCTCTTGCATTGTACTGCCAGCAGTACTATGAAATTTACTATGACTACCTCCTCCCAGTGCCCTAATCAAGAAACTCTGCCTTCTCAGAACAGCAGCAGTTGATGGAGCGAACGAGTAACTCCGGGCGATGCTCAACGAGGTTAACTGATTCATTCCATGGTTAACTAACATCACCAAACTCCACCAAACAAGCGCAACCTCCCTTTTTCTACAAAAAAAATCTAGATAGAAAACTGATCATAACGAATTCCATTAAGTAATTGAAATGTACTGCAAAGAATTTTCAGCTTCGCCTAAAGAAACCAAGTTCCGGCGAGGGGAGAGCCGTTTCCATGACTGGTGTTAAGTTTGAATCGTAAAATTGAACTGGATTGTACCTGTCAAAATCGCGGCCGGGAATCTAAGTTAGTCGATGACTGATTTTGCATTTCATCGGCAGTGTGTTCGGTGGGGTTCTAGGCTGAAATGGGGAATTGGGCATCTGCCGTTGGATTAGTTTCCGGTGGGCATTTCACTCGTCGCCCTGCTGACTCAGCACTTCGTTCCGCTGTGGTGGCGGCCACGGAGGAGCAAGACTGGGCTTACACCGTTTCGGCTGAGGTGGTTGGACTTATGCATGGGCCTAGGGCAGGAAAAAGAGCTCACGCCATGAACAGAAATAAGAAAATGCTTCGGCCCAAACATGAAGCTGGACAAACCCTCGGCCGTGAGTTGTTAGTGGTGTCGACGACGAGTGGGAAATCCCGGCGACTGCCTAGGAACGAAGGGAACGCGGAAGCAGAGAACCGCCGTCAATTCCAGGCGGCGATTTCTTCGAACTACCAGTACTGTTTTCTGCTCCAGTAACATATCGTTGGGGTTTTCACTTTTAGGGTGCGCGCGGTGGAGCAGGGAAGGGAAGGGGAAGGCTGGAAACAAAGATGAAGCAACAGACGAAGCTGAACGCGATTCGATCAGGGCTGGTGGTGATGGGGGCTTCAGCTTTTGGGTACTTGACAATGGAGATCGGCTTCAAACCTTTCCTCCTTAAAGCGCAAGAAGAAGAGCGACAGAAACAACAACAGGAATCTCACACGCCTCCTCCAGAAGAATCACAAACCCACGAATCTTATTGATTTCCAGGTCTGCTTTTGTTGCTTCAATCGAAAGGTTATAGAAACTCTGCATACACCTAGTGAAGGAGTGTTCTTTAGCCACATTCATACGTATGTTCATTTGGGTTTGGTCGATTATCGCTTTTTTTTAATCCATTTACTGATAAATTTGTAGCAAATGTTGGTAATTCCTGGTAAAGGTCTCATAGGTCTAGCTTATCCTAGCTGGGGAAATGGGACTGGAATTTCACCACTGATAGACTCTGTATATTGGACATGTGAGCTCAATTCAGATAAAGATACATGCTTTTTATGGCTTTCTGAATCATGGGTCCTGTCAAAATTGGCGGCAGATTTGATGGTTGTAACGAAGATGAAGAAGCAGGAATGGGTATTGCTCAGAGTCGTATACGGTGAAGTTCTTTGATGTGCTTGTCTTGTATGCATCCTTATGCCGAAAGTCGAGTCGATATGTAGGGTGGAGAGGGAAAGGCCATGGCTGAGAGAAATGCCATAGTTGAGGGAAAACCCATTGTTGAGGGACCAAGACCTCAGTTTACTCGAATGAACATGGATAATTACTGCTAAAGATGATATCTTTGTGTGCCTTTCTCCCCTCTTCGAATGGAAATTGGTAAGTTCTGGTACTACTGCGTCAGGCAAATTTCAGTTCTGTAAAAAGTTTACATTTCGAAACTCTGAAAAGCATGGATCTTTACTTTCTTTATATCTAGGAATTGGGGAATCCGACTCTCAGTATCAATCCTGTTTCTTCTTTCCCTCCCAAAACACAGAAAGAGGAAAGAAAAGTAATGCTTTCTCATCTGCTACATAATTCAGCCATTAAAGATGACCTTTTTCTGGGTGCCCTGTAAAAGATTTAGGAAGCGGAAAAGGACATGCATTCTTGTGGAGAAGGCAAAGAAATTAAAATGACAGGATCTCTTGTTGGTTGGTGGTTGCTTGCATCTAATCCTTCCTTCTGGCTTTCATTCCATAATCACTTGCTTCTGCATTATTCTATCCCTTTCCCAACATCCGTTTTAAGGTATTAGCAAAGAAGGCTCCATTTCTTTAGTCTCTTCACTGCAGATCATAAACTCAGCCATTGGGTATCATACACCAAACATTTCACAATAACTTATTGACAACGACATAGATGAGAATGATCAATGCTGAATCACATAACTCGCGAGTAAATAGCGATTGACATAAGCTATTGCTAACTGTTGTTAACATGAACTCACCAGAGAACACTGTCTCTAACCTACTGGTTCAATGAAAATTCATGGAGATCCTTTTTCTGTTGATACAATTCATGGGAAATCCTTGAGCTGCGAGTTAAAACCCATAAAATTTGGAGATGGCGGGCTGTGCCCACTGTCAATTATGTTCTTTGTCTTCGTTTAGAGACAAGGGTGGCAAATGTCCATGTGGAAGACTGGAAGTTGTTGTCTCTTCCCCCATTCCCGTTTCCCACACGAACTTCTTCATCATTAGTTTGTTTATTATTAACCCTGCCAGTTTCCATCACCGTATTTGCTTCCCCCACAAAAACACAGAGAAAGAGGAATGCTTTCCCGCCTGCTGCATAATTCAGCCATTAAAGATCCTTTTCCCCCTTTTTGGGACCTGTAAAGATTATGAAGCGAGCCGGCCAATATTGCTTGTGAAGAAGGCAAGTGAATGGGAATGATCGATCTGTCGGTTGCTTGCTTGCTTAAATCTAACTTGTCCATCTTTTCTCCCCAAACACCATCTGCAATTCCATGATGACTTGACTTCTCTATTCTATCTTACCCCTTTTTGCCATGGTTCTCTGGCATCGTGGTAATCATTTTAACTACTAGACTTTTCTTAATTAGTTTGATAGGAGACGTTTAGCTGGTTTGATTTGTTTACAAACATTCGATAACATGCTTTTACATTTATTATAGTGGTTATTTTTAGAGGTCATATAAGATTATACGATTAGCGGTTAAACCATTAAACTAATCTATAACCGATGATCAATGATTATATTGTTAGTCAATTATAAATTAGCGGTGTGGTTAACGATAGGCTAAAATGGTGTTATCGTATCGATACCAACTAGTTGGTTAATAGTTAAGCAAAAACTAACCGAATCTAAATACTTGTGTTTCTCTCCTCCAAAACAACCATATCCCTCCCAGGCTCCCACACTAACTCTTAAACTTCGAACAAACAATCTTCTTCCTGCCCCAACCCTCTTCGTCTTTCCTCCCACTACAAACACTAAAATTGAAAGAGTAAAATAAAATTGTTGACGTTGCAATTGAAATGAAGCATCATGAGAAGATCATATGGCTTCTCCTAGATGAAAGACTGCAAAGAGTGCCCCACCAGTTCTTCCATTAATGCTTTCCTTCACCCAGTTCGTACTGATCACTTTTGTATTTCCTCTCTTCGATTTATTCTCTCGGTGCCAATGGAAACAACAATTCAATCATTAATCCTACCGTTCTCCAAATACTGTGTCACCAACCAAATCATAACCCACCACCACATCGAAACCCTTCTCACCACCAGAACCTTCACCGTTGACCTTGGAGCCACTAGAGACAAGATAAGATGTCGCATCCGCTGTCAAATTATCCTATGAATTTCCTATTTAGTTAATGAAAAAAGCATCATTTTTCACGAATCCAACTATAGTGCCCCCAACAGCCGTCTGATCCTGACGTTTGCATTCACTGGATCAATGTGTAACATCTTATTGACAAGATTAATACTGCATTCATCCAACGATAGCATAACGCCTCGAATGGACGACTATAGATGTTGTATGAACGTCCTTACGAATGATGGTTGTAAGCACCGTAACCGGATTCTTCACCTCGCCCTTTAATTTCATCATAAACTAAAAGCATTTTCACCAGTGAAGTTGATAGATATAGCTAGCTTGTATTGTGGTACTAATATTGCACACTGTGTGGTCCTTAAAACCCCAGCTGAAGCCTGTCCCTTAAGTTCATCATCATCGAAACTCTTCATCATGGGTATTAACTCAACCTAAATCACATGATTTGTGAATCAATAGTACTGGTCGACATAAACATTGGTTTGGCTGGCTTATTTGTCTCCATTATTGTCGTGATCATCATCAACAAAAACCACACGTACATCCAATAGTCGGGACCCGCCGGTGTATTTATTTGTACACAAGGGATCGGATCATGACCATATCATCCTTTTGGGCAAAATTTTGCACGAAAGGTGTTCGATGGAATGATTGATCCACGTATTCAATAGGATACCAGTAGGGATGGCAAAAATATCCGTAACCGTGGATATCCGCCCGAATTCGGCCTAGTCGGGTAGGGTAAAACCCGAACCCGAAGGACATTTAGTGGGTACGGGTAAAACCCGAACCCGAATATTGCGGGTAATGGGTGGGCATGGATTTCTCACTATCCGACCCGAACCCGCCCGATTATACACATGCATATGTATTTTGTCTAGAAATAATCATTATTTTTCTCTAACATATTTTATATTAAGCATATAAATATAACATTTTCATGAAATTGTGTTGTTTTAGTTAATTTTCTTCATTCTAGTGAATTCTTGTCGTACTTTTTCTCTTACTTAATATAAGAATACGTGTGAATGTTAACATATTGGTTGGAGTTATGAAGAGAAATTAATATCCATGGATAACCGTGGATACCCGAAACCCGAACGGGTATGGGCATGATTTAGATTTTCTACCCGTTTCACATGTGGGTATGGGTATGGGTAAAACCCGAAATATTTTGGGTAGGGTAATGGATATGCACTATCCGCCCCCGACCCGACCCATTGCCATCCCTAGATACCAGCTTCAGTTGAGTGGGGGATATGGAAATGGATGGAAAGTAAATGCTGCTTTCAATTCCCATTATCTTGATTTTCTTCCTTCTTTAGATCCATGAATTCCACTCATTTTCCCTTTGGTTATGGCTAAATGCCGACGCATTAAGGCAAATATGCACATAGTGACATAGATATGATTGATGCTTACAGGTCGAGGTTGGACTTTTTGGTCCTGCTTTTGTTTGCTTTCCTAACCCTCTTGCTCCCTTTGCAAAATACTCTGACTCCTCTCTAGATCGTTATAAGTACGAAAGATGTCATTACAACGATTTTAACGATTGAAAATGTGTAGATGATCGGATGGAATTATTTATTGCATATGCTCCACTTTTGTAGACAGGTAGCTGAATTGATTATCAAACTACATCAATGCCATTAGATACATAATATTACTAGCTATAAAATCTGTTCATAAAAAAAAATCCAGATTTTGCCATGAGAAAAATACAGGGTGAGTTTATGGAAACACGGTCAGTAGCCCACGCTCTTTACCATGCGCGTGGTGTAATGGGGTTTGTTTCTGTTCCTATCTATCCGTTGCGGAAAGTGGGCCCACCACCAAAGCCTTCAAAGTCCAACCTGTTAGTCAACCAAACTCCGATGACCCATGTCTCGCTCGACGCCACGTCGCCTTCTTCCCCGCCGCGACCCGCCAAAATCTCTCGCCACCGCCGCCGGAGAGTGATTTACACGCTCCCTAGTTCTGGTTACCCCTGGTTTTTTTTATGTGACCCATCTTTACTTTAATTGCAGTTAATCAAAAGGAGTTTAATTGTTGAGTTATTATTACCAGATTGGCAGATTCTGTTCCATTTATTGTTAATAATCTGAAACAAGTATGTTAAATTGTTAATTATACCTTAGGTATTGAGATGATTTTTTCATATTGGTATTAATTATCCTTTTCTTATGGATATTAACTATCTTTTTAAACGCGTTTTTTTAGCGTATTTTCATTCATACCTGATATCAAACAAAGGAACAATCGATAAAACGTATAGCACAAATACAGTAGTACAATATAGCGATAAAATTACACCAACTAGTTGCTAAAGGTGATTTAACATCAAATTGAAACACGATCGAATGTTGCGGTGCTTAAATCACCAAATATAAGGACATCATTACCATGTTTTGTCATCCGATCGAATGTTGGGAGCTCCGAAACACGCTCATTCGACAATTGTAAAATACTTAACGCTTAGCACCAGATCGAATAGTTGTCGTCGGCATAAACACGGTAACCGGATTCGGTACAGTAGGGCATACACGTATCATCATCGCAAGGCTTTGCCTGACTCTCACGCGCTCCACGAACAAAGCGATATACTATCACTGAAGGTCCCAAAAAAAGAATAAAATAAAAAAGTAAAAGACCCACCTTCCCACCCAGTCCTGGAAAAGGGAAAGCGTTTTCATAATGGGGATTGGGGAAGAAGCATTTCATTTCACTTCATTCCATCAATGAAAATTGGGTTTTCCCTTTGCTTCTTCTTCACCCATGTAATCTGCTTCCTTCATAACCTCTCCCGATTCTCTCTAATAATTTTCCATTATATACTTTCACAAACCAATCTCTCCAAGCAAAGAAGCTCTGCTCCCTTCTCCTCCCTGTCCCTCTGCCCCTCAACCCCCATTAAGAACAAAAAAAGAATTTGCAAATTTGTCTCCGTGTAAAAATGGCGGTGGTTCCATTTCTGTCCGCCATGAATGTTGTTTCCCTTGCACACTACACTTCTCCTTTCCCATCCCTACTTTCTCTTTATCCTTAGCCCACTACCCATTTTCTCCCCCTCTAAAAATTTTCAGTCTTTTCGCCCACCCAAATGGCCAAAACCACGCCCAACGAAGAGCAAGACACGGCCATGCATCCGCCCATCGATTTCGGCAACAAGTTGAAGCGGCTGAGGCTCTACTACGAGCCGTCCGTTGGGGTTTTGGGGGTTTTTATAGTGACCCTCTGCGTAATCCTCTGTTTCTTCTACTTGGACTACAGAGAAGTGATTGGAAAAGTGTACAGAGTTCCTTCGAAATCGGAGAGGTTTATGTGGATACAGTTTGGTAACGGCTCTATTGACAATGAAAGAGTCGATTTTTTGAAGGAGGAAGGGAACCAGTGCGATGTTTTTGACGGGGAGTGGGTCTGGGACGACGATTACCCTCTATATCAGTCCAAAGATTGCAGCTTTTTGGATTCTGGGTTCCGGTGTAGCGAAAATGGACGGCCGGATTTGTTCTACACCAAATGGCGATGGCAGCCCAAGCAGTGTAACTTGCCCAGGTACTCCAAAACTGAAAACCCCTCTGTTTGGCTGCTGAGAAACTGTAGGAAAAACGAGAGGATTCATGTTCATGTTCATGTTCATCATGTTGTTGTTGTTTTCTTCCAATTCACTTCTTACTGACACCGTGCGTTAAAGTTCGAGGAACTGATGGGCAGTAATTAATGGAGGGCAAGGGACAAAAAATTGGTTTAACGTTTTTTAAAATGACATTTCCTCTGGAAGTGGACCAATTTCAATTCTTTCGTTTTCGTACGAATTTCCAACCCGTGAAACCTCTCTGCCCTTGTCGTATTGTTTTTGCAGGTTTGATGGGAAGTTGATGTTGGAGAGGCTAAGGAACAAGAGGCTGGTGTTTGCTGGGGATTCGATAGGGAGGAACCAATGGGAGTCGATGCTCTGCTTGTTGTCGTCGGTGGTCGCCGACAAGGGTTCGGTCTACGAGGTGAACGGGAGTCCGATCACGAAGCACAAGGGGTTTCTGGTGTTCAAGTTCAAGGATTACAATTGCAGTGTGGAGTATTACAGGTCGCCGTTCCTTGTTCAGCAAGGCAGGCCGCCGTCGGGGGCGCCGTCCAAGGTCCGGCTGACGCTTCGATTGGATCAAATGGATTGGAACGCTGCCAAGTGGAGGAATGCTGATGTCCTGGTTCTGAATTCGGGGCATTGGTGGAATTATGAGAAGACGATGAGAGGGTAAGTTTTGGTTCTAACCTTAAAAACACTAGATAAGTTAGTGGTCAAAATTTGCATGATTGTCTTGTTAGTTGTCGATGTGATCAATGCCATAGAGCTTTTTAGTTTGATTGATGAAACTTCGGGATGGATGAACATATAAGCCAAACCGAAACCCGACCTAGTTGTGTCAGTTGACTTGTGAAGTGTGAAATAATTATTGTTATGGTTGTCAACGGTGTCAACCTGATCAATCGTACAAAACAACAACGAAATCGATGGGGTTAAAGACGGTTTGCTAGGTTTAGCACATCTGTCAATTGATTGAAGAAAGCCAGATTTTGCACAATTCTATTTCATCAACATTGTGTAAGAAATTTTTTTTTTTTTGGGGTGGGTATGTTAGGTGAAGCATCCGCTTAACTGATTCTATTTGTGGATGGTGGTCTAGTTTTGCATATTCCCATCTTCTTAACTGGTCGAACTTTTAGTTATGGAGCTGTACAGCCAAATATGTTATTAGTCTATTAGATGCATACTTTGAGTTGACCGGGTCGTTGCTTTCTGTTTACTTCAGGGGAACTTATTTCCAAGTAGGGCAAGAAGTGAAAACGGAGATGAGAGTTGAGGCAGCCTACAGAAGGTCAATGGAGACTGTGATGCAATGGATAGTGAATGAAGTCAATGCAAGCAAGACACAAGTCTTCTTCCGGACATTTGCTCCCGTCCATTTCAGGTAACCCATCATTTTCATTTCAGCAAATAACTTCTGCATATAAGACAATGAAACCCTAGCAACCTCACTGTTGGCTCAAATTTTGGGGTGGAAAATTGCAGGGGAGGAAAGTGGAACACAGGCGGGACTTGCCACCAGGAGTCTTTGCCCGAGCTAGGGGCATCTCTTGTGCCATCAGAGACATGGAAACAGTTCGAGGCAGCAACCGATGTTCTGTCTAATCGAACAAGCCAAGATCGAAGTTTCGAGCTTCTGAACATTACTGGGATGTCTGCAAGAAGGAAAGACGGGCATTCGTCTCTGTACTATCTAAGATCCCAGCCAGCGCCGTTGCGGAAGCAGGACTGCAGCCATTGGTGCTTGCCTGGAGTCCCTGACTCTTGGAATGAACTTCTCTATGCTTTGTTCCTTAAACGTGAAGTTAGAACAAGCCCTCCTGCGCTTAACTCGACATCGTTGTCGTCGGATGAAGCACTGATCTCGTGACGATGGTAGGGAGAAATTTGGTTGAAGGAAAGAGGACACACACAAGTCAATTTTGCAGTTGAATAGCAGATTTGTAGAGATGGGTTCTGCTGATTATTCAAATTTGGGTGACATATAATGATTATTGAATTACAGATGAATAGATAGGTTGGGGACGTAGCAAATGTTGTCCGGACGAATTAAGAGTGGGGAAATGGAAGATTTGTAATTAGCATTTCGTTCAATTTTTTTACTCATGTTACTTCATTGGGATATTGGGATATTGTGAATGCCAAAGCCTAATGGGTACCAGTAGGGGTGCGAATCAATACGGTTTGAATCCAATTGAATTGGTTAGTTAAGGAATGAAATTAAGATCCAACTTATTTTGAAAGAGTTGTTCATTAAGATTGCGATCGAGTCAAGCCCAATTGAAAAAGTACAAGACGAAAATATAACTGGATCTCAAAACCAAAACAAAAAGGTCCGACAAACAAGTGGGCTAGCACCCAATAGGGCCCAAACTCACGACAAAGCTGTTAAGGTTGCTGAAACCCTAATCGTCCTTCTGCTCCCTCTGGTACCTCCAACGTCGCGGCCGAAATGCCACCGTCGTTTGAACACCCAGTGCATGCGCCAAAACCAGGGGGCATTTCCGCCAAACCCAGATGGAGGGAAGAGGGAGAGACACCATTCATCATCCCACCCCCGGACCAATCGAACCAAAGAACACCACCAGACGACCGATCGACGACGGAAGAATGATTCGGGTCCAATTGTACACATTTTATCCACATTTTCCTTAGATGTTTGAAGCATTTTGTACTCCGTGAGGTTTGTTTTTACGCTAGGTTGCATTTTGTTTTAGTATGTTTCATATCCTACTAGCGCCTCGGCCAGTTGGTCGGAGGAAGTGAGTTATGAAATTTGAGAATATAATGAGGTGTATAGATTATTGTTGTTTAGTTTTTTTGGAAACACGTGATAAAGATAGTGAATTTTAGCAAAAAAGAGGCATGAATGATGCAATAAAAAACCAGTCTTATGAACCAAGTTCGAGTACATGTTACCTTGTGAAACAATATTATTTCTGGTAATACGAGGAGGTGGAGTAAGTTTATAGAAATCAAATTCTAGAAAACCGAATAAAAAATCGCCTATCCCTCCAGTCTTCGAGAAATGAGCATCTCACAATCATTGCTAGCTTTTACTCGGCCCGTTGACCGATTAATTTTCTTTATAAAACTTTCATATTATCATCAAAGTTATTAATTCGAATGGAACAATCCATTCATCAACTCACAAAAAGGGTTAAATGGTTAACCAACGATCCAAATCGATTAGCCTAGTTTTTCTAATTTGAAACATATATTATACTATTATTTTATGTCTTAGTGGCTAAAATATAATGTATTTTAAAGTTGTTAAATGGTTCAACATCGACCAACCCGATTAGTCCAATTATTATCATTTCAAATATATAATATGTAATTATTTGATATCATAATGAGTAAATTATAGTGTATTTTTATAGAGAAGCGTTTGGTATTTGTTAGTAGGCCAAATACGAGAAAAGGACTCATAGTTTATGCTTTCTGTCAGTTGTACCCCTATATTTATCATGCGTCAGTTATGTCCCAACATTTTGGATCCGTTAACTTTGACCGTTAGTGGTCTACGATCAATGTATTGACCAATGATGTGTCATATGACGTGGCTTCTTTTGCCATGTCACTCAAAACATAATATTTAGAAATAAGATTTGGATGTATTTTTAATAAAAAAATTTGCAAAATAAAAAAATGATTTGCAAGCCCACTGTTTACAATAGGGGTGTTCAAACGGTTTGGTTACCGTGGTAACCGTTTTAACCGGTACTATTTGGATAATTTGGTTTGGTTAATTTGGATAATTGGTTTGGTTTGGTTAAAGTTTTTAGCTTGTTTGGTTTAGGTGGTTAGGTTTGGTTTCAGACACTCCTAACCATTCAAACCAAATTAACCAGTTAAGTAATTAGTCATATATCTAACATATATTATATACACATACTTAATACTTTGCATAACCACTCAAGAGCTAACGTTCATCTCTTTTAGACTCATAAAATATAAAGCTCAATATTGCTCATATAGTGTATATTTGTATATGTAAAGTGTAGACCACAACATATGGACGCCTAATTTAGATAAATTTCATACATTATGATGGATGAAAACTTGAAAGGAAGGTCATTTCCAGCCTATGATAATTGCTAAGAGACTAAGTCAATTTACACAAACACAACAATTCATTAACCCATATCATTGTCATAAAATTTTGTTAGGTGAATACTTCTATACTAATCGTAAGATGATTGTCTTAGTTGCATGTATTTTTGTTAAGGGTCAACTATAACTACGTGTTGATTGTTATGTTTTATTCATTATATAAATTACGAATTGTTGCATTAACCGGAAAATTTTCATCGTCAATGATAATGTGATTTTATATTGGTTAATCTGGTTAACCAATTAACCAAACCAATTAAACTTTAGTTTGGTTAATTTGGTTGCTGTATTAGTTTGGACGGTTTGGTTATGATATTGTATTCCATGGTTAATGAAATTTAGCCTTATTAGGTTTGGTTATAACCATGATAACCATTTGAACACCCCTAGTTTACAAGCCGACTTTTCCCCAAATCTCATATCTGCAACAAAAATGAACAAGCAAAAAACCTCAAGGGGTCATTTGGATCCAGGTTTTTAATTTGTGGGATTTTGGCTCAAATCACTAGTTTAAAAACCTAGGTTTTTAATTTGTGGGATTTGTGTGGGATTTTAAAATAGCTGATCACCATCAGCTATTTCATAATCCCACAATTGTGGGTTTCTGAAATCTCTAATATTTAAAATCTCTTATCATATAATTGCTTTCCAAATGAGTGATTTTAATAAAATCCCACATTATGTAGGATTGTGCCCAAATCCCACACCCAAAACCTGCATCCAAATGACCCCCAAATCCCATCCCTTACCCGTTCCTAAACCCCCAAATCCCACAATCGAATCTCCGATCCATTATGTAATCTTCCTCTTCTTCGCACCAAACCAAGGAAATAACAGAGAGCTTGTGTGCAGCTAACTAACGATTAGGGTTTTCCAGCAGCAAAATCAGCGTCGCCTACCCCTTACCACCATTGTCGGCAAAGTTGCTGCCCGTCGTGCCACCACGAACGCTACAACCAGTGGCCTACGCTTCTTTACCCCTGTCAGACGCCAAGATCGCCCCCAGGAATAAGAGAAAGAAGGGACATCGGGACTGCAGTCCAGCCTTGGAGGATCTGGGGAGCAATTTCGTCGCCTTCGCCGTACATTCCCCATCATCGTTGACTGCAATTTCTTTTTATGGGTGTATGATCAGTTTTGGACAGAAACAAGCAAAACAGAGGGAGGATCGAGATCTGAAGGTTGGGGAGCTTCTTCTGGGTGTATGATTTCTGGACAAAAACGAGCAAAACAGAGGAAGGCCGAATCGAGATCTGAAGGCTGGGGAGCTTTGATCGCTCTATAGTTATGCCTTGGGTCGGTGGGCTACAGTGACGTCGCTGGTCGGGGTTGCACACCGTGGCGACACTTCTGGGAATCGAGAGAGAAGAACGCAAGTTTGGAGAGCAATACAATCTTTTTTTATTGTGACCACCTTCTTCTTCTTCCCTCGCCCTTTATGCCTAAAGTTTCAGGCGAGCAAGTGACAAAGGAAGAAGTAATTCTTTGGCGGAGGTTGGATAGGAACGATGGGTTTTGTGTTTATTAATTGAAAAATAAATAAATTATTATTAGGAAATGAAATAAATATATATTATAATAATTATAAATTATTATTGTTGATGATGTGGCATTGTCTAGGTGACATATTGGCGCCACATCATAGTTAGGCAAACTAATTTTGACTGTCGTTTGGTCAAACCATTAAATCTACCAGTCAACAAAACGATGGAGGACATTTTTGACACGTAAACCTTAAACTTCGCTACTTCTGGACATAACTGACGCAAGATAAACGTAAGGGTACAAGTGACAGAAAGTCTAAACTATAGGCCATTTTCTGGTATCAGGCCTTGTTAGTAAAAAACTAAACAGAAAGATGCATTTGATTATTTTTAAAATTAAAACAATCCTAAATATTTCCAGTTTTTTTTCGACTTTTTATAGTTTTGTTCCCGATGCAGTGATGTGCATATGGCGAATTGCATTCTTCTCTTTTCATTCACTATTTTTTATTTTCAAATAGAAAGTTTGAAAGTAAAGAATAATTGGAGTTTGGCATAGGGTCGGTCAAACATGTTGAATTTCAAGTTTTGGCCTATTTTGATAAAGTCTAATTTATAATCACATGGTTCTCTGACACCCGATAAAAATCTTAATCCAAACCAATTCGGCATCTGAGTTCGTGTTTACCACCATTTTCTAGGAATACAGAAACGACGGTTCCTATCCCAAATCGTGTTGTTCGTTCTTGATTTTTTTATATTTATCATGGCATGGCAAAAACCAGAACGCACAATGAATTCACTGAACCCAGAATCACCGGGAAGGAGGGTGGAAATCGCAAAAATAGCTGATGGATCTCCCGACGCAATCTCCTTTACGCTTCCCCGACCAGATCTGCTCGTCGACGGGAAAGAAGCAAAGACAAAGGGGTATGGAAACAACTTCCGATCGGGTTGAGAAGTGTAGGAATCGTCACCAGAACGGGAAGAACCATGCACTTCACATGACATTGGCCGCGAAGAATCGGAATCGGTGTAGAAGGTCGGTATAGGCGGTGAGTTTGTTGTAAATCACTCATCGATTCACAGCTGGCTTGTAGATGAGAAGGGAAGATGCGTTGGAGGAGTGGGCGATCATTTCGACTTTAGGTAACCAGTTTGTGGAGGGAGAGCGTCTACTTCAGAAGAACTTAAAGTTGAGAGCGTGATGAGAGCGTCATTATTACATTATATACAATTATTTTATATTAATATAATTGACAATTAGTATACAAAATATTTTTTTTTATATTAACAATATATAAATCATAAAATATTGATGGATAAAGGTTTAATGATATGGAAAAGGGATCACCGCGGAGAGCGCCGAGGGTTGCGACGCTGGGTTCGTCAACACTCGAGAAAACCTGGATTAATCGTCGACTCCGCAGGACCTGGATTCGACGAGGAGAGCTGGAGAGCGGCGACTCTCTGATTGTGGACGAAGAGAAGACGAGATGGAAATTAGATTAGGGTTGAGTTTCGTCGTTCAAGACATACCCATTGGCATTTTTTTCTATTTTTTAATTAAACTTAACGGCCGGAATGGAGAAACCGAACGAGCGGTTCGAGCGGTTAACTGCCTCGGCCGCTCCAAAAACCACTATAAAAACCGCTCCGGCTTTTAGACTGTGTCGAGCCAGTTTGGTGACCGGGTGACGGTTTTACCGGTCGGACCGACCGACTCGGTTCGGCTATAACACTGCTAATGGGACATTTTGGCTGTGATATTTTTCAAACCGGTTATTTGGGATCTTAATAGACAAATACTACATGTCACAATATATGTTATTTGTTATGTGGTATTTGTAAAAAAAATTCACGTTTGAATAAATTATAAATAATGGTATTGTTGATGTCGTATTTCTTAGGGATGGGTACTGAGTGTGGTTGGGTGGATTTTGATCTTAAATTAACTCACCACTATCTAATATTACTACACATAAAATTCAACATATATACCTTCAGTTATAATACTAGAGAGACCTAATAAGTCATGAAATAAATAAAAAAAACTACAATCATTCTTAATAAGAATTCAAAGCATTCTATTCTAAAACATCATTTAATCTATAAATAGTACAATAATTTCATGCCATTCATCTTTAACTTCGGCACATCTACTAAGTAATAGATAACTAATATAATCTTGTTAACAAGAGGGAAGAGGGGAAGGGAATTTTTTTTTTATTTGGTTTGAGTAGTCATTCAATTACAGTTGAACTCTATATTTTTTGAACTACCCTTCCTCACATCGAGAGATTACAATATGATCCCTATATTTATATATACTATATATGTGACGTATTCGGTGCACCCTCTTTTTTTTAGTGCATTCAATGCACTCGTTTCATAATCGTCATTCCGAGCATGCGATTCATGTTAAAACGGTATAAATCATCGCTTATGATATTATGAACCAGAAATATACTTGGTGAAGCGGGAAGTCTAAAACCATACCCACCCAATTTTCATCAAATTCTTTACAAGTTTCACTTATACCCGTCTCGTGCCTAATCAATACCAAAATTTTCCGCATTGGCTAGATCGAAGATGATGGGATATCGTGGGTTTGAATGTCATCCCCAGTTAAACTGTGTTCGATTTTGTTTATTCTAAATGTTAATTAAATTCGATTATTTTCTTTCCACTTCCTTTTTGGTTTGTGGGCTGGGTCGAAACTGGGATTCATGCTGGTAACACACTAGATGGGCCCAAAAGATTCCCGCCAAGTGAGGCAATAAAATCTCCAAGACACAAGTTTGGGATTCATATTTGGACCCTAGCGTTGGGCTACGTAAGCCCTGAAGTTTTCAGCTGGGCCCACGATATGCTTTTCCTTTTCTTTCTCCCTTTCCCTGTAAATTTTCCTCTCCCATTCAGTGCCGGACTAGGCTAGGACTAGGACTATAATACAGCTTTAAGTCGGACCGTCGGCCCCTTGTTGAGCCGAGGCGTAAAATCGAAGCGACGATTTAGCGCGGGGAGCTCGGCCAGCTTTGCTGTTAGTGGTTCGGCGCTCTCCCTCTAAACAAGCTTCGGGGGGCAAATTCTCGTGCTCTGGGTTTTGAGTTTGAAGGCGAAAGGTCGCCACTTTCCGCAACTTTACCTAGTAAAGAGGCGCAGTTGGAAAGAGGAGTAGAGCTACGATAATGGCGAGCTCTGCTGTGCAACCGAGTCGATCGAGGGACCTCGACAAGCTCCTTCTCAGGTCAGGGAATCTCGTCGGCGAGAACTTCGAACCGGGTCCGCAAGTAAGTAATTGTGCCTTCTGTCTTCTCTCTTGGACAATTTGACGAACACTTTGTGCGCAATCGTGGTTAGCAATTGTTTCCGGATTGATTGTAGTTGAGGGATGATCTCCGGGAGTATGTTCGAATTTTAGTAGTGGGTGCGGGTGGATTGGGCTGTGAGCTGCTCAAGGACTTGGCCCTTTCCGGTTTCAAGAATCTGGAGGTTATAGACATGGATAGAATTGAGGTTACTAACTTGAATCGCCAATTCTTGTTCAGGTATTAATTTCGAAGCTCTGCACTAAGTGCTTGTACTGTTTTTTGCTTTCGGTTTTATGCAATGTGAGCTTTGATGGTTGATCAATTAATAGTTGTTCTTTCTTGAGGGACTTGAGCATAGATGTTGCAGTTTTTAGTACAATTTGTGAAGAGTTCCTTGAACTGTTGGTCAAGAACTTTGAGCTATGATCTCGGACATTTTTATTTGAAGCTGCTGCATTGCAGCTGCTCCTTAGCAGGTTATTTAGATTAAGAATATGAGTCGTTCTATTGAACCAAACCGCTTGGTACTTCTCTCGCTAGACATGATAAAGCTAATTTTTCAGCTTGGTTTACTGCGCTAGTTGCTTGTTATTCATCAACAATTTCCTGAACAGGCATTAGAATTTGTTTGCCCCAGAATAAATATGCAAAAGGAGTACTTTCTGTCCATGAAGACAAAAGTTTGAAATCTCCCCTTTCACTCTATATCAGTCCTTTAACTTTAAGTGCATTCTTGCAAATTGCTCCTTTGATACTTGTCTTAGATACTCCAAATGTTTAGTTAGTGCTGACTTAACCTTTAGTTTGAGGATGCACTGATTTCAATGTTTCTAATTGAGTGGTATTGTTATTGTAGACTTGAAGATGTTGGTAAGCCTAAGGCAGAGGTCGCAGCCAAGCGTGTCATGGAAAGAGTTAGTGGGGTGAATATCGTGCCCCATTTTTGTCGAATTGAGGACAAAGAGATTGATTTTTATAACGATTTCAGTATTATTGTGCTTGGTCTTGATTCGATAGAGGCTAGAAGCTACATAAATGCTGTGGCTTGTGGTTTTCTTGGTGCGTACTCTTCATGGTATCTCAGAGTTTCTTCCATTTATGATACATTTTGCCTGTGTTTGTTTTGTTCTTTGATAAACTGGCTAGCCTCTTGACAAACACTGACATTTTGCACCATATTGATGTCCTTTTTGTAAATTTAGAGTATGATTCTGGTGATAATCCACGGGAAGAGACAATGAAACCTATTGTCGATGGTGGCACTGAAGGTTTTAAGGGCCACGCTAGGGTTATTTTGCCTGGGACCACCCCATGCTTTGAGTGTACAATCTGGCTTTTCCCCCCTCAAGTCAAGTTCCCCCTATGCACACTTGCTGAGACCCCTAGAACTGCTGCTCACTGCATTGAGTATGCTCACCTAATTAAGTGGGATGAGGTAATTGATTAGCATAAATTAGTTTTTCTGAAGCAAAATTTTGCACAAATAGGAAGTTAATTTCTTAATGATCATGATACTCGTAGGCACACAGTGGAGTGTCTTTTGACCCAGATGATCCTGAGCACATGAAGTGGGTCTACGATGAGGTAAAAATAAAATTTCCTATTTTTATATACTTGCTCTTTCCTATTTGATGTTTGTAGAGGTAAAAATAAAATTTCCTATTTTTATATACTTGCTCTTTCCTATTTGATGTTTGTTTCACTTTTATTTTCTTCTCAACTGGAAAACTCTTAACATTATGTAGGCCTTGAAGAGGGCAGAGCTTTTCGGCATTCCAGGTGTTACATATTCTCTTACTCAGGTAAAGCTGTTGTATTGAGAACTTCCATTCCTATGCAGCCATCTAAAAATGCCATTGCCAGTTTCAATTTCGTTGCTATAGTGAATTTCTAAAATAGTGTTTTTATGGAAATTCCATCATCATTTCTTCGCTTCTTCCACTCCTCTCCACAGGGAGTTGTGAAAAATATCATACCCGCCATTGCTTCCACGAATGCAATTATATCAGCTGCATGCGCACTCGAAACTTTGAAGATTGCATCAGGATGCAGCAAAACACTGTCAAACTATTTATCGTATGTGCTCTCTCTGTCTCTGTCTATGTCTATTTGCTGTCGTTAGTTTGATTTAGACTTTAATTGAACAAGTTTACTGAAATGGCTGTCACCTGTTGCCAGATACAATGGTGTGGAAGGTCTGCACATTAAGGTGACTGAATTTGAGAAGGACAAGGACTGTCTTGTTTGTGGTCCAGGTATTCTTATCGAGCTCGACGCCTCAGTCACTCTTCAAAAGGTAATTTATTCTTCTGCCTCCTTAAAACCTGTTATTTAGAAACATCAGTTTTGCAGCCGGTATGCGAAGTAATATAGATATTCACCTCTTATCTACCTTGGTGTTTATGGCAGTTCATTGATCTGCTCGATGAACATTCAGTACTCCACTTATCAAAAGCAAGTGTGACACACAGAGGCAAGAATCTGTACATGCAAGCACCACCAGTTCTGGAAGAGATGACCAGATCAAACCTGAGCTTGCCACTTTTCGAGCTCATGGGTAAAGTTCCAAAGGACATCTTGCATGTTACTGGCATCGCGATCAAGGACGATAAAAAGACATCATGCCTTAGGAAATTGCGCATCGTTTTCAAGGGGGTTGATGGAGTTACAGACATGGACATGGCTGGCGGGGCATAAAGCTTCAGACTGCAATAGCAGTAGAGGTTTGTGGCCAAACTTTTGAGGGTTATTTTTCTTCTAGGTACTGAAGCCGTCTTACAGAGGGCATCACGTGTAGCAGAGAAGAGAATCCATGATGAAGAAGGCACCTTCTCGTCATCAATCAACCGATAGATTATTTTTGATTATTCTCCATGAGAGTGTTATTATGTACAGGGGAGGAAGCTCGGGTCGGCCAACTTTAGCTTTTATGTCAATTTGATGAACCTTTTTTCTCGTCAAAAATTTCACCATCACATGCTGTTGCACATGGAAAAGAGCAGTCTTTTCAGCAAACATCGTCTGGCAGAGCAGGGGGATTACTTGACATTCCATGGAATTGAAACCATCCCTTCTGAAAATTGGGTGCATGTTGTGGTGTGAAAGAGATTACATAATGTGCTTGTTTCAATGCTTGATGGTAAAGTGAAGCCAATTTGTCCTGTGATTCACTATTTAATTGTGTTACAGCTTAAACATCAATCACTATCAAATCCCGCCACATGTTTATGTTTGAGCTTTCAACGAGCCAATCGCTTATGTTTTCGTAGTATCACTCGTAATACAGAGATCAGACTTGATGATGAGATCTTAATCCCGAATCCATGTTTCGAATCTTTCAAAATTGGAGATCATAACCCAGAATCAATATTTTGAATCTTTCAAAATTTGAGGAACGAATCAGCAGATGGAAATGTATTTGCCAGAGCCCAGAACTATGAAATGAAACATATTCATTAATGAAGTTTAGAATTGTCAGGACATACAGTCTTACTTGACTGCAAACCACCAGACAAATCAAGTGGATGATTAGGAAAAGATCAGTGGGAGCTGGGATGGCTTGCAGTTGAGGGATCTTTTAAAGCTGACAACTGTAGTGCTGTGCAAAAGTGCAAATTGTTCTCTCCATGATATAGGAAGCTCCCAAAAAACACTTGAAAAGCAACCTCATAAGGGGATGGGATTATGGAGATCTCCTCTCCCCTTTGTTCTGGGAAAGCTCATGGTCCCTTTGAAGCCAGGCCAGCAGCAAAACGTGTGGACCAAATGACACTCTATAATTCAAGCTCACTAGCAAAATAAATAGTAAAGCTCAAATTGCAGCTGTGAAAAAAGCTCCGAAAGAAATAGTAAAGTTCATATTCATAAATAGGGTTCAGGAATGTAGCTCTAGCCTCTATGGAGTAATAGCTGAAGGAAGTGGGCCTTCCTTAGGCAATACCCTGAAAGCAATTTTGTAGCGTATTATCTAGTCACCAGGATTCTGAACTTCCTTTACGAGTAGTTTATAATCATAACTTTTGTCGATTCTCTTATTGATTTCTAGAACTCGATCAATCCGTAACTCAAAGTTTCGCATTTGCGTCTATCCTTAAATAAATAAAATCTCTCAGAGAAAGCCTATGGATTTTCATTTTGGATATGCATCCAACTTCAGACACCCTCCTTTGTATGCCTCATTATTGAACCCTGTCTGTCTTTGACAGTTGCAGAAGACACTTTTTCTTAAAATCAGTTTAATGCTCGGCCTGGTAGCTGCCATATGAGGCGGCACCGTCTCCTTATCCACATTTTGAGTCTCCTCAAGAAGATATCCACAATTTTGAGTCAATTATTGAGCCATGGTTGCCATCTTTTTTCCCCCCTGTTTCCTGGAACTCCTTTTATTTTTTGTTTTTGTTTGCTAAGGAACAAGCCCAACCAAGCACCCTAATCAAATAAAACATTCCTAGTACATCCTTTCTCAAAAGGTCAATATTCCAACATCAAAGTGTTATCGCTATTTCAACAAGCTCTACACGAACAGACAATTTAAACGTTGTAAAATATGAAACCAATGATAACTAACAGTGTTATTATGACGTTCGCTAACATAATTCGTGCTGACTAGATCCGCATACTATCAATCATAAATCAGATGAACAAATCCAATACAAAGTTTAGATTCATTTAGGGCAAAATGCAGTTAATGCTTGCATATGGCCATTCAGATTACTATGGAGCTTTGCCCAAAAAAAGGGTGTCAGTAGAATTGAATGATACTGGCCTGGCCATGTCCCCACCACCTTCAAGAGGGTATCACATTGAATCCAACTATGGTCAGAGATAAAAATCCAAAGACAGATCCTTTTGCCTCTTTGGCCACTAGTTTGACTGAGTTATAACTCATGAGATGAGAATGAGATGCTGATATGATAAAACACAAGAACTTTCACTGAGCCAATGTAAGGACAAACAGTTCATCAGATAAGGGTTTGTGGCTCCTGATATGCCCAGCAAGGCTCAACCCTCTTTTCCCCACACATAATTTCATTTATTCATCCTTTCATAACTTCTATTTGATGGGTACTATGAAATTTGAACCATACCAATTGGGCTTTTTCTATAAGCTTTTTTAAGAGAGAGATAGAGAGAGCACACAATCACAAAGACCCATCCACTTACAAAGTTACAAGCAAATATAAGTGGTTTTGAGGAGATTGAATTGGAGGCTGCTGTGGATGAGATATCCTGGTGTGGTCTGTTTCTTTTGATTTCTCCTCATCTCTTTCTTCCTCTCTATCAAGCAACTGGATAATATCATGAATCTGAACTACTTGATTCCTGTAGGATAGTGAGGACTAAATCAGATAGGCCAACTGTCACCATACCCTACCACCCCACATGCAGCAGCAGAACCCTCTCCTCCTTTCCCCCTTTGCCCTTTCCATTTGCCCTACCCTCTTTCCCTATTTATAAGCCCGCACTTCCCCGTTTCACAGGAAGGAAAAAGAAACAAAAGAGAGAAATAGGGAGAGACTCATCGACTAAGAGAAGCCCAGATAAAAATCATATATTCACACTCACTGATATATTCTGTTTCAACTCCACCTCCTCAGTCTCGCTTCAAGGTTTTGCTGGGTTAATTACTGAAGGAAGAAGAAGTAAGCAATTTTGCTGATGGAAGTGGCTATGGAGTTAGAAGACGACTTGTTCTTCGCCGACTTGAGCAAGCAGATTTCTCTACTGATTATGGATGATGATGAAGACCCAGTTGCTCCTCCCCCTTCTGTTGGCTTCCAGGTTCACTAAAGTTCCCATCTTTAATCTTTTTCCTTACCAAAGCTTCGTTCTTTCTTTGTATGTAAAGCTTGGTACTTTTTGAACATTGGAAGGAACTACTGTTTAATTAATAAACCCTAATCTTTTTTTTGCAGCAGGCATACTCCAGAGTTATTTACCCAGCAGCGCAATCTCCGTTCATGTATGAGCAGAATTGCAGAAGGGAGAGCAAAGGGACGGGCGTGTTCATCCCACAGTCAACACAGCCAAGAAGGAAGCAGAGGCAAGCCAGATACACTGCTAATGGCCTCCAGATTAAAGGTCACAGGAAGCTAGACGACAAAATGGCTGCACAAGTAGCAACTTACACCAATTCCTACAACCCAAAGAAGGGATGATGATGATGAAGAAGATGAAAATGAAAAGGAATCAAGGAAGGGGAAAGGACCAAATAATAAAACCCAGAAAGAGAACAAGTTCTGCTTCCTGGAAAGTGCCATGATTCAGTAATAATAATAATGTTGTTTCTCCAATCAATCCTCAGTTTGGCAAAATAGGGTGGGGAAGGTGGTGAATTTTGCAGCAGCAAGCAAGGAATCTATACAGCAATTTCTGTGTTAAGATCTCTGATATGTTGAACATGTACATGGTGAAGAAGTATGCTATTTATTTATTGTTTTTTTGGGTTATGTTAGTAGGAATGTGGAGGTGAGAGGTCTCAATGGAAAGGGATTTTTTCTCTAATAAAATGGGGGAAATGTATGGTGGGTTATGCTGTACTGAATTTGCTCAATCAATTCATAAGATTCATTACTTGGATTTGTTGATTAACATAATCAGAACATTCATTAATAATACATCAGTATATCTCCCTTTTGGGGAATGCAGGGTAGCAAGGCAACTTGTACCTAAAGGAAACAACATATGAATCCTTCTTGCACTCACCACACAGTAAAAGGAAGACCTAATCCACATAGAAGCAAATATTAATATTCTTCTGCAGCAATCACTAATCATGTTTTGGACTGATCTGATCTGCAGTAATAAAGCAAGATCTGGATTAGGGCTGTGAAGGTTTAAAAATAAGGAACAATTCGGATTTAAGGTTTGATACAGAGAACTGAAATGACAGGCACAGCAAAGCTTGAAGCCAAAGCAAGCTCAAAAGATGCCAAACTATGATTAAGCACTGTTCTTTTGTCATTGGATGCCAAGGAGGAAAGTTTTGAGCATGTTGGTTAACTTGTCAAGACGAATATTTCAAAAGAATTTCCCCCATTTTCATGATACCAATCATGTGCATTGTGTATTTTGTTCGTTCTTTGAGATTGAAACAAGTAACCATTCTTGTTTCTTTATTCAGTATGTGCCTAAGTGGTGAGTCTTAATCCTATCACAATTGCCATTAGAAGTAAAGAAACTGTGAAATGCTAAGTTGATAGGCCATCTTGGGGTGCTTTGATAACCCTAGAATATATGGAATTCGAGACGTATTGTTATGATTAATGTGATGATATATTGCGAAAGACTCGAGTATAATGTAAAGTTATAAGCTGACAAGTGATAAATAAAGGGGAAAAACTCTACCTAAACAAACTATATGATGTTGCATTACGTCAAAATATAAAATACATAATTTCATATTAGATTTGGATAAGAAAAAAGACGAATTTTCAAAATTAGATCGAAACAATCTCGAATTAAAAAAACCTGTTAGATCAAATTAACTTATAATCTTCAATTAGTAATCCGTGTTATAGATTCAAGATCCAATATGGATCTCTTAAGGCTACACAAAAACATTATTCCCTGTCTCAATCAAAACCTCCAAGATCTATCATCTTCATGCCCTTGTCTTAGAACATGCCATGTTTTTAAAACCATTCATTGATTATGTGCCCATCCCTTTCCTTTCAATTCCCCATTCCCAATCTCTTTTCCAAAACTAGCAAATTCCCCTCTGGAGTTTGTCACAACTCACCACATTGTACACTTTCCATGTGGCTTTGGGGAGGGACAGGGCACACCCTGTTCTCAGAACAAGGACATTAACTAAACCCTCAAACCCTAATCCTTGTAGCCCATTTCATCCCTCCATTAAACATCTATTGAGTTGAGTCGGTGCAGGGATTTTTTTTTTTTTTTGAGAGGGGAATCGTACGAAACCAACATGTTTGTGTACTTTTGAATGAATTGAAACAAATGATCAACCGCAAAGTTCGTGCGTGAGTGAGGACATCTTAGAAGTAACCTCCTACCAAACTCAAAATCTTATCAGAACAACAGAAGTAACCTCATACCCTAATTGATTCTCGAGCTGATTTACTTTGAACCTCTTCCATATACCATCCATATCAACTCATCCAGAATGATTCTCCACCTTGATTTACGGTAAAGGATGTGTTCTTTCTGTGATCCAAATCTAGCATTGCCCAACTTTTAAAGGACTAGATTAAATATTTATGCAAAAACATACTTTGGGTGGATTACTTATGCAAGCAAAAACTAATAATGGAGATCTGGTGGGTTACCACTTCCCACCACCACCACCACCCCTATGCCACATTCTTTGTTTTCCTTCTGCTTCTGCATACATATCTCTGATCTCCCAACACATCCCCACTTGACTTTGATCCTTTCCAGAGATTTTTGTCCTCTTGAATTTGGGTCGCCCACATGTGCGCCCAGCTCATCTCCTCCACATCAAATCGCAACATCACCCTCACCTTCAAAGCAAAACAAAGCTTAAACAATTCCATGGAGCCATTTGGAATCTCAGATTAGTTCATGAATGTTCTCATTTGGAATCTCATATTACATTCGATTTCAATGGTACAACCAATTTGTGAGCGGTGTTTAGTTTTCATCCCCAACCTATAGCGCCAATTAGGGCTGTCAACCGGTCGGTTTCGGTTTAACGAAAACAGATTTCTCGGTTTTCGGTTAAACCGAGACCTGACCAGCGCCCACCGGCCACCGACCGACCCTACGCCTCGGTTATCCGTGAAACCGACCGGGCGGTTTCCGTTAAGGCGCGGTTAAACCGGCGCCACCGAAAAAGAGATGGGCGGTTCGGTCGGATGTCCTAACCGACCGAAGACCGCCAAAAAACCGACCACTGACCGACCCAAACCGACCGCCAAGACTGAAAATCGGCCGCCAAAACCCTACTTCTCATTTCTCAATTCCAACCAACCAAAACCACTCTATAAAAATTAAAAACCCCAACAATCCAAACTTCTTTTCAATTCACACAACTCTACTCATTCAATTATTCAATCTAAAACCACTAATCAACCGATTCAACCCTGCTGTTTTGGTCTTGGAAACCTGGGGGAATTTTTTTTCTTCTTACATTATCTCTTTCTTGACTTCTTGTTATCGGAGAGAGATGGAGGAATGGAGGCGCCGCCGCGCGGGGATGGCGGACTGGACTCTGGATGGTGGCGGACTAGAGGGTGGCGGCGATTGGAGGGTGGTGGCGGCGACCGATTGGTGACTGGCGGCGCGATTGGAGGGTGGCGATTCGTGACTGGCGGCGATTGGAGGGTGGCGGGCTGGCGGCAGACTGGCGAGGCGATTGGGGGGAGGCGATTGGTGACTGGCGGCGATTGGAGGGTGGCGGCAGACTGGCGCGGCGACTGGAGGCGCGGCCGGCGATGGCGTGCTGGCGGCTGTGCTCTGGCCGACGATGGCGACTCTGGTCTCTGAGGATTTCGCCAGTAACGAGAGGATGAGGAGGAAGTAAAACGAGAGGGATGGAGGGTCTGGCGGCTGTCTACGAGTCACGCGAGTGTCTAGGGTTGGGGTCGTTTCTCACCGTCTAAAACGACGTCGTATCATTCGGTCGGTTAGAGTCGGTTAGCCGGTTAACCGGCTTCGGTTACTCGGCTAACCGCCTGCCCACACCCAGTTTCCGCCAACCGACCGAGACTTATTTCCTTCGGTTTTCGGTTAGCCGCTAACCGACGGTTACCGGTTAGATCGGCCGGTTAGCCGCTAACCGGAAACCGAAATGACAGCCCTAGCGCCAATGGTATTGTTACGGCCCAATAATAGTAATTGATTTTGAGTATAGGCGTATCCTGTAAAGAGAAGGTCGTGACTCTTGTGTGCATGTTAGAACCCTTTAACTTAGACAAACACAGTTTATAAATAGGGGCAATGTCTATTTTTTACTCAAATAATTCTAATTGTTCGAGTTTGAATCTTGCTTTTGTTGAGGTCACAAATATAAAACGTAATATTTATATTTCCAACCGTTACATGAGAATAATAGTATTAAGTATTAACAATTCAATATCGATCATCCTTATGGTAGAAATCTTTTGGGTAAATACAATTTAATATCCAAACCTTTCATTTTAAACAATATAATAGCCAAACCTTTTCGAAAACAATCTACTATCCAAATCGTCAACTTTCCGTTCGTTTGACCGTTAATTGACACTTCAAAAAAGTTCGAAGTACGAGGCTTCATCAATATCCATCGATATCTTCTCTGAAAAACCACCAACATATCGTGGTTCCAAACCCGAGAAGTCCATGACTCCACCATGATGGTATAGAATATCTAAATAATCCGTCATCTGCAATGCCAAAACAAGAAAACAATGTTGTATTGTGACAATTTCCTCTAAACAAAGCTTTTTTGAAGTGTCAAATAACGGTCAAACGGACGAAAAGTTGACGATTTGGATATTAGATTATTTTCGAAAAGGTTTGGCTATTATATTGTTTAAAATGAAAGGTTTGGATATTAAATTGTATTTACCCAAATCTTTTTGTTGATACATGAGATGAGATTCTAGGCAACAAACCAAGTCCAACATGTTGCGGCCGGTGATTTGTGTCACCATGTCCAAATCAACTTTATGATTGATGGGAAAGAAAGAAAGGAAGAAGGAAAGGAGCCAAATCAACAGACCCATCACAGATCTGACTTGGCCGACTCGATTATATTGCATTCTGATTAGATTCAGCTGAAAGCTGGATAAACATTCCCCCACGGACAAAAGTCGAGATACCTTTGAGACACTATAGAAAATTCAGTGACCAGTTGGTTAACAGACCGAAGAGCGATGACCAAAACAGAAAATGTCCCTCGATGTGATCTCGATCTTCTTTGTCCTTTGCTCACTTCGATTTCCCCGCTTGCCGGCCGGAGAGTCTTGCCGACGCCGAACTCCCTGCAATTGATCAAACGTAAAACAACAAAATCTTTCTGTTGTTTCCCGTGTCTGACGTGGCACGATCGACGGCCCCAATGTTTTCCCCTTCTTTAAAAAGAAAATTAATCGGCGATGATCAGTGATCTAATCAGCGCAGTCCGTTTGATGACTGATACTTTTTTCTGGGTGGGACTTGGGAGTCAGAGCGGAGCTTCAATAGTGTTTCAAAAAATGGCGGACGCGAAGCTCGCTTTCGTCGCTCTTCTAGTCCTCTTCCCGCTCGCCCTCCTCGCGCTCTTGGCTCTGATCGTCCGCCCGCGTCCCGTCAAGATCCCGTTGAAGAACCGCCATGTGTTCATCACCGGCGGGTCGAGCGGGATCGGGCTCGCACTCGCCCACATGGCGGCGGCGGCGGAAGGTGCCCGGGTCTCCATCCTGGCCCGATCCCTCGACAAGCTGGAGGAGGCGAGGAACTCGATCCGCCTCGCCACGGGGATCGAGGCCGCGATTTACGCGGCGGATGTTAGGGATTTCGACGCCGTGAAGAAGGCGGTGGAGGCCGCCGGCCCGATCGACGTCCTGATCGTGAACCAAGGGATTTTCGTCCCCGGGGAGCTGGAGAATCAGGAGTTGAGCGAGGTCCGGTTCATGATTGATGTCAATCTGATGGGGAGCTTCAACGTCGTGAAAGCTGCTTTGCCGGGGATGAAGAGCCGGTCCGACCGGAGGCCGGTCTCCATCGCTCTAATGTCGTCGCAGGCCGGCCAGGTAATTGACGGCGGTTTAATTAAATCCGAGTATTCCTCTGGTTTTCTTTGTTCGCTGAGCTGCTGAATTTTCAGGTGGGAGTTTATGGATACACAGCTTATTCCGCTAGCAAATTCGGGCTCCGGGGCATGGCGGAAGCGCTTCAGCATGAAGTCATCGCCGATGATATCCACGTCTCTCTAATATTCCCGCCGGACACTGAAACACCTGGTCTGGCTGAAGGTACGGAATTCCATAGATTTAGCCTCCAGAGTCTTAACAATACTAGGCACTAGCTACCCCTGTTGAGGTATTTTCCATTTGGGCATTCTCTCGAACAGGTTGTCTGCAATAGAATGCAGCATATACCTAAAGTTGCAGACTTGCAGTTTGCTTGTGTATGTTATGACGTAAATAGGGATTGGTTTATGAAGTAGGAACTTGCTAAATCGCCAATTTGAGAGTTGTTTTTCAGTGATCGGATCTGTTGGAGTATATTGAGTGTATAAATAAAACCCTAGCTGTAGGATTTGGGGCAATTGCAGTAGTGACAGCCTGAGTGCTTGTGATTGCAGAAAGCAAAAAGAGGCCGCCGTTGACAAGCATCATCGCAGCATCGTCTGGTGCAATGAAAGCAGAGGAAGTTGCCAGGAAATGCTTCGACGGGATCAAGGTGGGAAGCTTCTTCGTGCCTTGCAACTTCGAGGGGGCGATGCTGGCCATTGCAACAGCTGGGTTAGCCCCGCAGAGATCCTCGTTGATGGCATTTCTCGAGGTGACTCTCATGGGTCTAATGCGACTCGTAGCTCTGTTTTTCCAGTGGAATTGGTACGGGAGCATTGCAAAGTATGCTAGCAAAAACAAATGATACAGTAAGTCTCAAAATTGTACTCCGCAGCTAGCCCTTTAGTTGACTTGTTTTCTTCTGCTGGTAATCCATTTTCACATCATCATAATCGTATTTGGGTTCTGAAAAATGCCAGGGGAAAGAAAGTTTGGAACTTTGGTGCCTTGTCAGCCTTTCAGGCCTGAGCCTCAACATTTGGAGATGGACACTATCCGTCGGAGCATTGCTGCTGTTTCTCTGTTGTTTTTGGAGACTATTGATCCCATTTCTGTCCAGGACAGACCAAGAACAAATTCAGTTTTGTTTAGGGTTTGTATACGGGGGATATTTCAGTTTGCGCTAGGGGTGTTTTGGTAGAGGAATGTTCCTTCTGATTTCGGGAATAATAGACCATTTTTCTTGCGAGTTTGGTTTGGTTTAACTACAGAAGAGAAGAAGTATTGAGTTTTTACTTAATTTACTTGTGTTTCTCTGTAAATTGTGAACTCTCATATCTCAAGTCCGGGCGAGGTTTATAGACTATTGTATCCCAAGCCACAAAACGCACCATTTCGCCTACGTTTCCTTCGCGATCAAAGATTGTTAGGTAGGCTGCGCACACTGTCATCTGATAGTTGGGATCAGATTTACCCTGAGCATAGCTAGCCACTCTTCCCCTGTTTCCATGTCCACTCTGTTAGCTACTATCAACCATCTAGCAATTATCTCTCCAATTCAGCATGCGGTGGTCTTGGAACTGGAGTTTTTCTCTTCGAATATACATATGTTCATTTCCCTCCATACGCACCAGCAAAGGGCATGAAGCAGAGACTTGATGCACCACTCCATTGGCTCGTGCTGCGGCCATTTCCTTATCGCTGTTGCGTTGTCAGTTGGGACAGACCCCTATACACAGAAAGCTTACAGATGATTCTCTGCAGTTTGTGAAAATATGGTTCGCATTTTACACACTGCCGGGGAACAAAAACACACAGGCTAGGGTGAAAATCTTCTTTGATGTACTATCCACAAGAAGGTACAGATATGGGTAGAAATGTATTTTGCTGCCAAACTTGGCTTTCACCAATTGCTGGGTAAATTGACTGAGTGGGTGCAGAATTTTCTAATTCAGTTGCTCATCATAGATTCCAGCTTAGTTACGAGTGAAGAGAATATTAACAGTATGAGATATGTAAGAACATTCGAACAGGCAAAGCAATGAGCTTTGACATGCATATAGATAGACACAGAAATACTACTATTCCTGATGAACAGCAAGTACAATGTAAAATGTAGAAAAAGAATTCACATAATTTACATCCTACCAGTACTGCAACTAAACTGCATGAACAGCAACATCGATCATATATTCATCTATTTCTTTCTTTCTTTTCAACATAAATGCAAAAAACCAACAACACCGACGATCTAATTCTTAAGAAACGCTTCGAAACCCCAGAACGACTGTAAAAAATCAGGAATTAGGCTGATTCGTACTAGCCTGGTGCCCTTGATCAACGACGAAGACGCAGCAGTTGTGCTTCCTCAACTGCCACATCATCAGAAACCACAAAATCGCTCCGGCCGTCATCAACCCACTCACCATGTACACCGTCCTGGTGGCGATCACCATCAGCAGGACCAAGAACACGCACGGGATCAAGCAGAAAACGCAGAGCAGCGGCAGCCTCATCGGGATCCTGTACGGCCTCTCCAGCTCCGGCATCTTGTACCTCAGCCGCAAGAACGACGAGAACTCCAACAACATGCTCAAGCTGTAGATGAAGTTCGCCGACGAAATTATATCCGTGAACTGCAAGAACGACACCCCAATCGTCAGCGCCGTCGGCACAATGATCCCGACCCACGGCGTGTGGAACCACTTCGATCTCGTGGCGAAGAATTTGGGCAGAATCCCCAATTCAGCCATCCCCAGGATCTGGAACGAGCAGCTGCTCAATTGGGCCTCGTACAGTCCGATTGCGGACAACGCCGCGCCGATTTCGAGCCAGATCTTGAGCCATTTCCCGGCGATGAGCTCCGCCGCCGTGGCGTGGAACCCAGATCCCCATTCCGCTTGCGGCACGTCGACGGCGCCCGTGACGGCGAAGAGAGGGAGCAAGTATGATAAACAGGTGATTGTCACAGCTACCGGCAGAGCAACGGGGAAAGCTTTCCCCGGTTTGTCAACTTCTCCGGCGAGCGTGCTGATGTTGTCCCAGAAATTCAAGTTCCAGAACAGAGTGTTGAAGAAGAGGTTCCAGTTCTTTTTGACTCCGGGCTGGCCCAATGAGAGCCATCTCTTGGGCCGGATCTTAGGGATTGCGATCAGGCACATTAAGATGAAGGGGGAGAGCGAGATCAGGCCCAAGATCACGGCCGCGTACCCGACGATGTTGAGGCCCAAGTAGTTGACGAAGGCGAGGACGAGAATCGCGGCGACGATGGCGACGATCCGCGGCCAGCCGGATTGCAAGACGGGGAACATCTTCTCGACGTAGCCGATGCAGAGGACGGGGTAGGCGGCGACGTTGATGACGCCGCTGAGGAACTTCCACGAGCCCATTAGGGATCCGAAGAATGGGCCGAAAGCCCGTTGGGCCCAGAGGACGAACCCGCCGTTGCCCGTGAAGGTCGTGGAAAGCTCGGCGGTGATTAGGGCCTCCGGGATGGACCAGATAAAGGGAAAGATGAGGAAGCCCAAGAGAGCGTAGAACGGGCCGGCGGCCTGAACAGCCGGCTCCTCGCCGTAGGGCCCGCCGGCGACTTCGAAGTAGATTAGGAAGATGAGGGGGACTAGGGTGATTAGCTTCTTGGGTTTCAAGGGGCTCGGTTCGGCGCCGACGATGGGTTGTTCCACGTCGGCCATGGCGGCGGCGGCGGTGGTGGCCGGGAAAACAGGGCGGTGGTGATGATTTTCAGGAGGGGAAATTTGGGAGTGGGATTTTGTGGAAAGAATGATGATATGAGCAGTTTGTGATCCGAGTATCCGGGGGTTTATAGTTCGGGGGTTTGGTTTTAGCAGTGTTCTTACCAGGATTCTATTCTATTTGGCGCAATCTCAGTGAAAGATTCTATGAAAAAACAAACGTGTAACCTTTTTTTTAGGTGGGAGAGAGTATTTAACTATTTATGGTTAACTTATTAAGTAGTCACTAGTCATCGTATCCAACTGGAATTGATTTCTATTCTTCTCTTTTGGGATTATAATCGCAGATAATTAGTAGGTATCTTATTGGAATCTAAATCACGTATATAAGCAGAATTAGTGGTAGACTTTTTAGTCTTTAGCCAATGAGTAGTCATTCAGGCATTCAGCTTATTAGAGTTGGCTCCGTAAAAAAAAAGAAAAAAAATTAGAGAAAAAGTTTGCTTATTAGAGATGGCAGCCTCCTTCTAATGATGACTGGACCGCTTCAATTTGAAGATAATTCCCCCAAGAAATTAAAAACCTTCAATAAATTTTTACCGGATTTGACTGTATTAAGTCCAAGGTTGTCCGGTCGACCCACTTTAATCCTGGCCCGGTGAGAAAAACGGGTTGCACGCACCCGCCGGGTCGACCGCTATAAGGTACCGGGTTTGAGGTCAAATTGTGTCTTTTTTTGTTTGTTTGCGAAATGCGCCTATTTTTCGATTTTCTTTTTGCCTAACTCAATCTTTGGAATTCTAAGTTGAATATTTGAATATTGATGTTATATAATTGTGTGTGAATTTTTACTATATGTTGGATATAAGTACGACATGTTATTTTAGTGTATTATATGTTATAACTTATAACTCATATGTTAGGTGAGATTTTATATAATTTATCAGGATAAGTATTATATAATGACTCTTTCCATATTTCCGGGCTAAACTGGGTGACCCATTAACCCTTGACCCACTAGGTTCACCAGGTCCGGGTCAACCCGCGGGTTGACAACCTTGATTAAGTCGGATTGAATATTAGTGGGTACCCGACGAGAAAAGCCTCTTTGTAAAATCAAGTTTTTTGGGCCCATTCGAAGCCCAAATATAAGGTATTGGTAAGGTAAAAGCCCGTTTAGATCCAGGCTCCTCGTGACCTCGTCCAAATCTCTGGCGGCCTCGCTTGCCCCACTTGCGACACGTTGGCTCTCTTCTCGCTGCGGAAAGAAAACCTCAGAATTTCAGAGCAAAATTATCACACAGAGAATCAAGCAGTCCTCCTGCCGTGTGTTAAAGTAAATCCATGGCTTCCGCAGTAGTTAGACGAGCAAAGCCGTCGGCTTTTAAGTCCGCGGTCGACGCAGGCCTCCGAATCGCAGGATCTTCGAGGTCCTACGCCAAGGTCGCCGTTGGGGCCGATTTGGTCTCGGCGGCACCCGATGTGGCCCTCCAGAAGGCTCGCAGCTGGGACGAAGGCGTCTCTTCCAAATTCTCAACTACCCCTCTCAAAGACATTTTCAAGGTTCCTCAGCAAATTCACTCCCTTTTGGTTTTCCCTTGTGTTTCATAGCTACTGGGTTTTCTAATTTTTGGGCTGATTGCTTTCCTTTATTGTTCCAGGGCAAGAAAGTTGTCATCTTTGGCCTCCCAGTAAGTCCCAGATCCTGCTGGAACTCGAATTTGGTTTACTCTTTGCTTATGATTTAATTCAATTTGCATATGAAGTTAATTCAGTTGAACCCAATTGCTTGTTTTGTTCTCCGGTGGGTTTATTTTTATCCAAACGAACTGATTGATTCTACCCAGGAGTTAAGAACAACAGAAAAGTATGCATTTCTGTTCCAATTAAATGGGTTCCAGCTCCTGAATCTCGCAGTCTGATTAAATTGGCATTCGAGCTCCACTGCTCCACACAGTTTTGTGAAGCTGATTCATGTTACCAAATTCTGGGTATATGGAGCAGTGGGTTTAACCGGTCCAATGGATTTGTGATTTCTGTGTGGCATTTCGTTATCTACAGGGTGCATACACAGGAGTTTGCTCCCAGCAGCATGTCCCGAGTTACAAAAAGAACATCGATAAGTTCAAGGCTAAAGGGATCGATTCAGTCATTTGTGTGGCCGTTAATGATCCTTATACAATGAATGGATGGGCAGAGAAACTTGAAGCTAAAGATGCTGTAAGTGTAAATTTATCAAATATTTTACTTCCTCAATGACTCATGAATGACTTAGTTACATGTGTTCTTCGTTCCCTTTCCTCCCCATATAGATCGAGTTCTATGGAGATTTTGATGGGAAATTTCACAAGAGTTTGGAGTTAGAGAAGGATCTATCTGGTGCTTTGCTTGGACCTCGATCCGAAAGGTACATATCACACTTCTGCACTTGATAGAGAACACGTCTTGTTAAAGAAACAAATTGGAGTTGCCTTGAGCTTTTTCAGTCCTCTCCATGACCATTTTGTTTGGATTTTTGTTTTTGTTTTGTGTTAGGTGGTCGGCATTTGTTGAAGATGGAAAAGTTAAGGTCCTTAATGTTGAAGAAGCGCCGTCGGACTTCAAGGTCTCTGGTGGAGAGGTTATTCTAGAACAGATATGAATGGTTGTGGGTTACGAACATCGTAACAAGGGTTGGAAATAACACGCCCAGCTGCTGCTGATGAAGATGTTGAATCTGTACGCAGTTTGGTGTTTCTGAGAATGGTTGTTTTTGTTTCATTCCATGAAACAATGTAGGCAACTCCGTTTCCTGGTGTTTTAAGCAATACATTTGAGAATCAACCTAGTGGTTCTTTCCTCATCCCTTCGCCTTCTATTTTGCTTGAAAGCTGCACACTGATGCAATCTTTCTTCCAATTTCCTCTCATCAGATTGAACTCTATGGAGACTCACATACGTGCGTTTTTGGCTGAAATATGCATTCTAAACACACGACGACTTCACATTATATTGTTTATGGTAAAGGTACATATATAGGTTTAATTTCTGCTGGTAAAGATAAGTAGGCTAGTGATTTCCATTGAGTTGAGCTATACATATGAAGAAAATGAAGAACATCGTTGCCCTTTTGATTTTATCTGATCACACAGGAATCCACCTCAAGTAAAATTACTGTACAGATTCACTCTTAATCATCGCCACAACAGCTCCCGAGCATGAGGGTAAGTAGGCAGCAGCATAACTTGCACACTTGCCAGCTTATCTCTGATACAAAATAGATACAAAATCGTCAATGGAAGAAGAGTACGTATGTAATTTATAAAAAAAGGAGAAGGGTTTTAACTAAAAGTTGTACCCTGTGGTTGTGCAATATTGAAAGCCGCGGCCGGGCTGCAGGTCGATGTCACCGGCGGCGACGGAGCAACGAGAGGCGGATAGTGAACTGGTCTGGTGCCATTCATCGCCGTGGGAGAAACTATCAATAGCCACCACAGGATCGCCATTACTACTGCATTATTATTAGTAGTGACGAACATGTTGATTATGTTTTTTTTTTATGATTAATTTGGTCATTTGTAAGGCTAGCGGATGTCTACTTATAGAGCCTAATGATCTGATTATCATTTTTATAATAATCAAATCAGCATTTGCCGGCAAGCAAGTTTTGTTTCTTTGTTTCATTGTTGTCCTCACCTGAACTGCCCTTGTGCGTGGCGCGACAAGGGGTTGTGGGCAGTGAAACTCTGAACCTTGTCATTTTGTAGTTCTGGTGAACCTCTTATGTTTGATATTTTCCTTTTGGTTTTGTAGATAGCTGAGGATCAAAAAAGGCAGCGGATAAAGCTACGTAAATACTAAGTCAGCAGTGAAATGATCGATTCGATAGGCAACTAGTAGACGAACGATTTAGGGGTTGTGTGTGTTTTTTTTTTTTTTTGACAAAAGATAATCTTATAAAGATCAAAAGAGACAGTTACATCCTGGACGACAGTCAGGCCTGGAAATCAAAGAAACAACCCATAGTCGGGTACAATGAAAGGGCCTTCCTAGCCACCATATGGGCTACCCTATTACTACGCCGACCTATAAATTGAACACTAAACCCAGTATAGCTGTTAAAAAAATGCAAAACTTCCTCCAGAACAGCTCCTACTAGGTTATCTCTTACATCCGCGTGATTGATCTTATCAATGAGCACCTTCGCGTCACCTTCAAACTTTACTCCCGAGAGGCCAATCGATAGGCACCACACAATAGCCTCCCGGAGGGCAAGCAATTCCACTACCATCGGGTCATCCACCCCCGGAAAGAGAATCCCTTTCACCAGCCAAAGTTGTCTTGACGGAGTCAGCTGAACAATCCCACCCGCTCCATGCGACCCGCTCCATGCGACCCCCTCCTCACCGCCCCATCCCATAAACAAACCGCACTATCATCCGCAACAATACCAACAGGGAGGGTCACAGGAGGCATCACCACAGGGGAACCCATCCTAGGGGAACTGTCCACAGGCAGTCGCACCCACTCCTCGTACTGCTGATGGAATTGACGCATCAAAGCCGGAAATCCAAATGGTTTGCCTTAAAAAACAACCCAGTTCCGCGACCGCCATATCCGCCACAGGACAGCCACCACAGCCATTAATAAAGTAGGTTGGTGAATCCGACCCAAAAGTTGCTTCAGGAACATAGGGAAGGTATGCCTAGGGAGTCCCTCCCCTAGATAATCCAGGCCAGAATGCACCCAAAGGGCACGAGCCACAGAACAATCCAAGAAAAAATGCTCCATCGATTCCGCAGCATCCCAGCAAACCGGACATCTGGGATGCACCTGAACTCGTTTCTCAATAAGGGCCTCCGTTGTAGGCAAAATTCGATTAAGGATCTGCCAAACAAAGACTTTAAGTTTAGGCGGGATATCCGCATCCCACAAATGAATCCATGACTCCTTGTCCATCCAACCCACAGAAGCTCTCCAACCCCCGCTCCTTCTATCAATATCCACAGCTAAATGATAAGCCGACTTGACCGTGAAGACCCCATCCCTCGTACCATGCCAGATTACCTTGTCCCTAACATTATGTCTAGGGAGCGAGATTGCTTTAATGGCCTTTCAGGTAGGGGATCAAACCAACGACACAACTTGTCATCATCCCAACCTCCCCCCCAGGACACATGACCTTTGCCACAGGGGGATCGCCCCCATCTGGCAGGACCCGAGGGTTATAACAAGGGGGGTTCTGCTGAAGTCGAGGAATCCAACTAGAGTTAAGCAACGACGCAGTCTGCCCATTACCAATCTGCCACCGTAACCCCTGCGCCATCAACTCCCTACCAAAGAGGATACTTTGCCACCCCCAAGATGGGCGGGAACGAGCTTTGGCATCTAGGAACGACCCATTAGGGAAGTATTTACCTTTGTAAACTTTCGCCAAAAGGGACTCAGGTTCCATCAGGATACACCACCCAATCTTAGCCAACAGAGCCTGATTGAATTGTTCAAACCGACGAAACCCCAGTCCCTCCTCATGCTTGCTACGGCACAGACTACGCCACGAAACCCAATGAAGTCGGGAATGATCCTCTTCATCCCCCCACCAGAACCGGGCCACATGTCTATCCAGGAGCCGACACAACGCAAGAGGAAGCTTAAAACAGGACATCACATGTAAAGGCAAAGCGAGAGCAACCGATTTAATCAAGGTTTCCTTCGCCGCCCATGACAAAGTCCTTCGTTTCCATCCCTGTAGACGTTCCAGCAGTTTCTCCTCCAAATACCGGAACGTGGCCATCTTGGATCGAGCAATAAGGGTAGGCAGACCAAGATATTTATCATGGACCCCTACCGCTCCCACACCTAATATCGCAGCCAAAAATTCCTGATCAGCACGGACAATATTCTTGCTGAAACACACTGCTGATTTGGTCAAATTCACCTTCTGGCCACTCAATTCCTCATAATCATTCAGGACCTCAATCAAATTCTCACACTCCCTGAGGGTGCCCCGTAAAAATAGATACGAGTCGTCAGCAAAAAACAGGTGCGAGATCCGCGGCGCACGAGGAGCCACTTTCACCCCTTCCAATTTTTTGTCCGCAATGGCCTTGCGAAGGAGGGCCACAAAGCCTTCCGTACAAAGCATGAACAAAAGAGGGGAGAGGGGAACCCCTTGCCGAAGCCCCCGGGAAGGAGAGAAGTACCCAGAGGGGGTCCCATTCATTAGAACCGAAAAAGAAGAGGATTGGAGACACTCTCGAATCCACCCTTGCCAGATACTGTTAAAGCCCATCTTATCCAAAACCGCAAGGAGAAACGGCCACTCGACTCTATCATAGGCCTTTTCCATGTCAACCTTTAGAGCCATGAACCCTTTCTTACCCCGCGTTTTGATTTTAAGATAATGCATCAACTCGTGGCCCAGAAGAACATTCTCAACAATTTGACGTTCACGGATGAACGCATTTTGCCCCTCCGAAATAATTGTAGGCAAAAGTTCAGCCAGCCGTTCCGCCATAATTTTCGTGATAATTTTATAAACAAATTGGCATAAACTGATTGGACGCAGTTGTCTCATAGATTCCACATTATCTACCTTGGGGATCAAGATAAGCCACGTATGATTGAAGCTGCGGAGCATCCGACTAGTAGCAAAGAAGGACCGCACAGCCGCAACCACCGTCTCACCCACAATATCCCAAAAGGCTTTAAAAAACTTACCAGTGAATCCATCAGACCCAGGAACCTGCTTAGATCCCATAGCAAACACTGTATTACGAATCTAAGCGGGAAGAACTTCAGCCGTAAGACTAGCATTCATCTCAGGAGTAACACTACGAGCAATAGGCAAGGACGCCACCCGCTCAGCCATGTTCTCGACCTGATTCTCCGAAGTAAAAAGGTGTTGATAGAAGGAAGTAGCGATTCCTGCTTTCTCACTTTCATTGGTGATCCAGTCCCCATTATCATTCCGAAGACCAGCCACGAAGTTTCTCTTACGCCGCGCCCTAGTCACCGTATGAAAGTAGGAAGTATTCTTGTCCCCTTTCTTCAACCAGTGAACCCTGGATTTCTGTTGCCAATAAATTTCCTCCGCCTCCCATTGTCGGTTCAATTCTATCTCCAGCTCCCGGACCACATCCCAATCAATTGGATGGACTGATTTGACCCTCTCAATCTCGCTTTGAAGGGTACGAATGTTCCGCAAGGAATTGGTAGTACCTGCCCTACTCCAGTCATACAAGAGATGACGAAGCTTCTTCAGGCGCTCCCACAGGCAGAACATAGGGATACCCTGGATATCCTCCTTCCAGACATAAGTAACCATGGCTCTAACTTCGGGATTATCCGCCCAACGAGCATCAAAGCGGAAGAGAGGACGACTACTCCGAATATAAGGCCTATCCGACAGGAGGATGGCTCTATGATCAGAACCTTGATCAGTAAAGTGTTTGACCAAGGTATCCGGGAAACGATCAATCCAGGGCTGAGAGCAAAGGGCTCTATCCAGCCGCTCACGGATGCAGGCACTACCCATCCTCCTGTTAGTCCAGGTAAAGAGGTCGCCTTGGTAACCCAGATCATGGAGACCCAAAACATCAATAAACTCGCGCAAACTGGTGGAAGTATTGGCATTCCAAGGGTTTCCCCCATCTTTCTCACTCGCACTAAGGATAGTATTGAAGTCACCAATCACCACTTAGGGGAGATGGAAAGTAGAACAGATGTTCCGAAGATGCGCCAACTGGGTTGTTCGAATAGAAGCAGAACAACTAATATAAACACAAACCACGATATAAGAAAAATCCACTTCATTAATTTGGGAACAAATACAAAAGTTGGAAGAATAAAAAACCGAGACATTAATCTCCGGAGTCCAGGCCAACACTAAACCGCCCGACCCATC